CTTTATTGCTAGTCTTATTTTCCTTTCTGAGACTGGCTTATTTAAGATCTCTATTTGGTCTTCTGTTAGTCTGGGTATTTAATATTTTTGAAGATAGGAATCCTCTATTTCCTTTATGTTCTCAGATTTGCTAGTATACCTCTGTGTATAATAGGTTCTGATAATTGATTTTTCTGATTGGAAAGTTTTTTATGGTTCTGTTGCAATTTTAGTTTGCTCATTTACCATTTTGATTTGGTTTTCTGCCCTCTTTTTAATAATTTAGTCAACTAAAAAGTTATCAAATTTTGCTAGTCTTTTCAAAGAACTAGGTTTTAGTTGTATATCATTTCTTTAGTCTTTAACTCTTAATATCTCCTCTTTTGTGTCCATTTTGAATTTGTTGGCTTGCTAATATTTAAAAAATGCATATTTAGTTTACTAACCCTCTCTTCTTCTGTTAGTATTCTTCTGTTAGTGATATGCATTTTCCTGAGGACTACTTTAGTTGCATCCCAGAAATTTTGGTATGTTATTTAATCATTATCATTTTCTTTCATTAACTGTTTCTATGATTTGTTCATTGATCAATTTATTATTTAGGATTTTAATGTTAAGTCTCCGTTTTGGTTTGTCTTTTGTTTGTGCTCCCTCAAATGATTGTGATTTTTACTGCCTTATGGTTTGGAAAGGATGCTTTCTATTTCTGCCTTTTAATATGTATTAGCAACATCTCTGGGCCCTAATACATAGTGATTTTTTGTAAAAGTTCCATGTGCTTCTAAGAAATACATACACACACATATTTTTTTTTTTTACCTGTGCCATTTAAGAAGATGCTGTTAAGTCAGAGGTGAAAAATACAGAAAGACCTGCAATACTCTGAGTACAGCAGGAACCAGATTAAAATGTAACTGGGAAATACACAACAAAATAAGTAAAATTAATTGAATATAAATATTGTTAATATATGATTTTCTAAGTCAATATGTGGCACATAGGGATCCTCATGTACTATTTAGTAGCCCCATTTTCGAGTGTGACAACACTACCTCAAACATTTTAGCTCGAATTTCTCCAGTTCCTGTCCCTATTAAGAGTTTTGTAAAAATAAAAGTTTTATTACCATTTAATTCCATATGGTTGCCTAGCATGCTATTTATGACATTACAGTTCTAGGATGTTAGTCAGCTAATTTTTTTTTTTTGTCATCAGGAATAGTAAATAACATTTCTCTGCACAATATAATTGGAAAATATTGTTAGCATGTATTTATTAGTTTGGCAGACACTATTTCTACCTGAAAAAAAAGGTGCCATGACCAATAAGTAAATATCTAAAATATTTAAACTTTGAGGTGAAGTAAGCCATATTGAATATTCCAATAGTAAATAAGTGATGATGCTGTCAAATAAGTAACAAATAACCTTTTTTTTAAATTTCTGAAACTACCAATAAAATATTTTCCTAAGGTGCACTATGTATAAAAAATAGTAAACTAAATATTCATTTTAAAAATAGAACTCAAAAAGGATTTGTTGAGTAACATAAAGTAACACCGAAGTTGTTGGCCAAAAAAAAAAAATAGTGAGATATTTTCTTTTTTTTGGCCATAAAGTCTAAAATTAGAGTAACTGAAGTTCTGTGGACCAGGTCACTGGAACTGAAATTATTGGAGGACAATTATTACTATTACTATTTTTTTGGCTTTGGTCTCCAGGATACACAAATGATAAAAGAACACCAGAGGGCACTGTTGATTAAGCAAGCTGTATCTCCTTTTCACCAAAACACCCTCCTGAATTAAACATTCCATTTCCTGCTGTTCTATACTTAGGCTCTGCTGCTCCATTTAATTCATTTGTTTCCAGCTTTTCCTCACTACAGACAGAAGAGCTGGGCTTGGAACTGAGTGGAAAGAGGCCAAATGACATTTGGGAAATTATCTAGCACTTTTAGTTACTCTAAACTGCTCCCCAGCACAAAAATCCATCTTTTTAAGTTCAGTATTTTTCCAGTGATACTACGTATATATAAATCATGGGACACCACAATCTTTGAAATATCAAAATTGTAGGTGACTCAAGGGGTCATGGAAGAATTCAGAGCAGGCATAATTAGGCTGCATTATTACCAATAGTGACTTTTATATAAATTGAATGATAGAAAAAAGGAAAAGGGCATATGTTTCATGGAAATGCACAGAATGTTGAAAAGATCTAGAGGAAGGCGTCCAGTATGTTGGGTAGATTTTCTATGGAGGATTTGTAAGGCAATTTAAACAAAAAACACACATAAAAGTTAAAAATAAGTCTAAAGAAAAGTTAAAAGTTCGTAGATAATTATGGTCAGGGGTGTGCTGAAAATGTATATGTAAGGTCCATCTTGTCTCCATTAAGGTGCTCAGATTCTTATAATCTAGCCAATAGCTCACTAATATTCAGACTCTTCAAGAGTCTGATCAATATGGTGGATGTTCTAATAAACCTTGTTTCAAAAAGAGAGTATCAAGGAGAAGAGGGTGATTCACAGTGTCAAAGGCTACAGAGCTTAAGAAGAATGAAGACTAAGAAAAAGCCACTGAATTTGGCCATTAAGAGATCATTGGTAACTTCGGAAAAGAGCAGTTTCAGTGGAATGATGAGCTCAGAAGCCAGATTATAAGGAGTTAAAAAGAGTGAAAGAGAAAGTGGAGTGCAATAAATTTACTTCATATACCACTGCATCATAATCCAATTTAGATCACATTTTCTGGCATGTATTAGGTGTTTAAGAAATAAATACATGTTGATTGGTTGGCTAGAAGCTCACAATCATAGATTCAGAGCTGGAAAACACCTTAGAGATTCCTAGTTCACTTTCTTTTATGGGTGAGGAAGCTTAAGCCCAGCAAGGTTAAGTGATTTGCTATGGTAATTTACAATTCACTCTCTTCAACTTCGCTTAAATATGATAATCTACAAAGTAAAGTACCCTACTTCAGTTTGCCTCTACCTTCACTGTTCTCTTAATTTCATTGGAAACATCTGGAATTTTTCCCAGGTCATATTACTAGTTGACACAGCCTTGAAAAAACTCTAATAACTAAATCAGCTTGTTTGGTAACCTTATCCATGGTGCCTGAAAGTTGGTAGCATAGAGGAGGAATTTTCCAGAGGATGAGTTTAAAATTAGCACCAGCACTTTGTAGATTGATGAACTCAAATAAAAAATAATTACTTTTAAGACACATAGTTGGAAGGATTTTTGTTCAGTTGTGTCTGACTTTTTGTGACCCCATTTGGGGTTTTCTTGGCAAAGACACTAAAGTGGTTTGCCATTTCCTTCTCCAGTTCATTTTACAAATGAGGAAACTGAAGCAAACAGGGTTAAGTGATTTGCTCTGCGTTACACTGCTAGTATCTGAAGCAAGATTTGAGCTCAGGATGATGACTCTCCTTGACTACAGACTCAGTGCTCTAACCACTGGGCCATTTGGCTGCCCTAATTGGAGGTTACATGAACCTTTGTCAATGACATCTTCTAGTAAATGTGTAATCTTATTTGTAACAATGGTGTGGGCAGCTAAGTGGCACAGTGCATAGAATGCCAGGCCTGGAGACCAAGACTCATCTTCATGAGTTCAAATCCAGCCTCAGACACTTAACAGTTGTGTGACCTTGGGAAAATCACTTAATCCTGTTTGCCTCAGTTTCTGCATCTGAAAAATGATCAGCAAGTCTTGGGACATGTGGTTTTTGTCAAATCATATATACGCCTAAATATTGCTTGGATGAATGTATTGGACTAGAGCACCTCCAGGGCTGCTTTCTAGCTCAAAAAAAAAAAAACCCCAAAAAACAAAAAAACCCTACTTCTCAGTCTAAAATTCATAATCATTTAACTTTCCCCCTATGTTGGGTTTTATTAATTTTATTCTTTCAAATTAAAAGAGAGCAGTTCCTTGGCTATATTATTCTAAAATTCAGTAATGCTAAAGTATATAAATGAAATTCAGATTACAGTACTAGCATTTCTGATTTTAGTCTGGTCTGTAGAACAAACAGCTGGGGGAGGAAAAAAAAAACTAGTTAAAGTTAATTGGAGGTTACAATTACACACGTAAATTTTAAAACCTTTCCAGTAACACAGGAACCATCTGCTGAGACAAATGTTCTTAAATATTTGAGTTGCACAGATGTTTAATGTTGAGACATGAAGGAAGGTCTCCAGCACGTGGAGTCAATTTAAGGAACCAACTGGAGCCCAACAGGATTACAGAAGGCTTGGGTGGGTTTTGATAAGCATGGAAGGAGGGACCCTCCAACCCCCCACCATCAGAGACCACTAATCTCCATACAAAACAGGGCACAATGGCACACTTTGGCTACAATGGAATGATGAGCCATCTCTTTCTTGTTTTGGCATAGAGGGAAAATGGAATCGATTGTACTGCTAGGAAACACACAAGTTTTCCCGGAAAAAGTAAATCTGGGCAGCTCCCTCACTACAGGAATAAAGAGCGTGAGCTTCTAAGTCCGAAGCTGCCAAGGATGCTAGATGCAGAACCGGACGTCGTGGGAGACCCGAACCGGAAATCCCGCCCGCTGGTCTTGATACGCCGACACGCAAGTCGGCACAGAACCGATTCTCGACCCACACTTCCGGTTTGTGAGGCACTAGTGAGATGGCACTCACTCCGAGAGTCTGGGTGTGTCTCTACCTGCTGCCTTCCCTTTAGTCTTCTCTTCACCAGCAGCGGCACAAACATGGCCTTCAAGCTGGAAAGGGTCTCAGAAGCCCCTCTAACCCAATCTCCCTCCCTCTCATTCTCCAGAGGAGGAAAACTGAGGCCTGGGGAAGTCGAGACGTGCCCACGCCCATATAGTAAATAGTAGAAGCAAGATTCACTCATTTTGACTCCCAACATTGTACTACGCTGCATCAGTGATCTGTGCCAAGCCGCGATTCTGACAAGGGTGAAACCATTCACCCACACACGCCTCTTTTAACAGGCTTCTTCCCAAGCATACCTAACTCACCCCATACGTCTGTAGTATTCCGCCCAAGTGCTACGGTAGCCGAGAAGGCGAAAAAGACAAACTAGCTGGAGTGGAAAGACTATCCTACCACTGCGCAGGCGCTCGCTCGCGCGCACACCACTTTCTACCCTTGGGATGAGAGAGTCTAGTGTTATTTGCATATGTCCCACCCCTCCAGCTTTCCGGGACAACCCGACTTCGAAACCAGCCAATGAGCAGGCCCGCCCATCGCTTTGCTAATTGGATACTGACACCAGAAGGCGGGCTGAGCCGGGGCACAACTTGGGTGCGCTCGGGTTGCATCAGCTGGTGCGGTAGTTGTGGCCACGTGGCGCAGGCGCAGTGAAGGTTCGGGTCCCTGCCCCGCTTCTCCATTCTTTATTCATTTGGGTTCCCTGGGGCATCACGACTACCTTGCTTTCCGTTCTCTGAGCCTCCGTCTGTTCCCTTCTTGCCTCTTCGTCGCCCCCGTAGCTTCTGACGATGTCTCAGGAGGTAGCCGTCGACGCCTCAGGGAAAATGAGTGAGGAGGAGAAGCCGGTAAGTGCTGGGGGTTCTCTACGACGGGGTGGGGTCACCGTGGACGGCTGGTCGTTGTTTCTGGAGCCCGGAGCCCGTCCCGGGGGAGGGAAGGAAGTCCCTGCGAGTGCCGACTGCCCCGGCCCCCCGAAACACAGGTTCCTTCTGGGGCTTCCCATGGGGGTGAGGGCGACTGTGGTTCTAAGGCTGTCCAGCCCAGGGTGTATGTACCCAGACCTCCGGAAGGACCTCACGTGCTATCTGTCCCGATATATTTTATATATGGGGAAACTGAGGCCCAGAGATGTTAGTGACCGACCCACCGTCATATGAAGCTACGGTCATCCGAGGCGAGCTGGTGTTGTTTCTACGCTACCAGTCAATTAATAAATATTAAGCACCTAGTTTGTGCTAAGAGCTGTTAAGGGATGCAAAGAAACGCAAAAGACAGCCCCTGCCTTCGAGGAGGTCACAGTCTAATGGGGGAAACGACTTCAGTCAATAAGCATTTATTAAGGGCCTATTGTGCTTATAGGATACAAGGAAAGGCAAAAATTGACAAAGGGAAGGCACTAGAATTAAAAGGGCAAATTAAAAGAAAAAACAAACAGGGTGGTCTCCTAGAAAGTGTACTGGATTTGAAATCAAGAGAACCTGGGTTCAAATTCTGACCCTACCACTTGCAATCTGTCACTTGAACAAATTACTTTTACTTTTAAGTCGTTGGGTCTCCGTTTCAGCACCAGTAAGATGAAGGAATTTTATCAGTCCTTTCCAGCTCTAAATCTGTAACCCCATGGGTCTGGTTCTTATCAGGGGTTTGGCCATTAGGGTATGACATTTTTGGCTACTGCAGCTCAGGTGTTACTAAAAGCATGGAGGGGATGCACTCATTGATCTTAGGGATTTAAATGTGAAGAGTGCTCCACCTCCTAAGATTACAGAACAAGAGCAAACAAAAAAGAGCATGAGGAATTTGGAATAAGTTTTTAAATATATTTTTATTCATTTTGTTAAATACATTCCCCACTTACATTTTTAGAAATTTTTAACAATTTTTAAAAAATTTGAATTTCCAAATATCCCTCTTCTTTCTCCACTTCCCTTACCAGTTCTTTCTCTATAGGTGGATAGCATTTTTTGTCATGGGTCTTTTGAATCAGAGTAGCTAAGTCTTTCATGGTTGAGTTTATAATATTGCTGTTATGTATACAATGTTGAGCCATTCCTTAATTGATGGGCATCCCCATAATTTCCAATTCTTTGCCATCACAAAAAGAGCTGCCATAAATTTTTGTACATTTAAGTCCATTTCCCTTTTCCTTGATCTCTTTGGGTAGTGGTATTGCTGGGTCAAAGGATATGCATGGTTTTATAGCCCTTTGGGTGTAGTCGGAATTTGGAATAATTTTAAACCAATCCTTATCTAATAAAGGAATTGTTGTTGTTTGTCCTTCATTCTCGAAGAGGAACCCAACATCCAGAAGACTATGCCATGACTTGCACATGAATTGCATTTAAGTGAGGGAGGACTGTGCAAGGTCACCAGCCTCAATTTCTCCTCCAGAGCCGTCTGGGTGCAGTGGCAAGATAAATCTGTATGACTGGAGATGGCCCTGGATGCAGTTGTAGACCTTGGACTTTTTAAGAAGCTAAGGTCCTTCAGAGTTCTCCCTTTGAGTGGAACAAAGGCCCATTTGGTTTTTTAGGCTGGTTAAGAAATGAGCAAAGGAATGGCTGCTTTTATTAAAAGAAAAAAATCAAACTGGGAGAAGACCCTCAGGCAGGGTTTCTGGTCAGAACAGAAACAATTACTGTTTACATTCACTCTGAGCTTTAGGGGCCCACTAAGTGGTGCTTGGTCTGGAATCTTGTTGGCTAATCAGTGAGAGGCCAAGTGAATTGGATTTAAGGCTTGATCTTTTAGAAATCTAGCCTGTAAATTCTGAGTTACCTAGCTACATTTCTGCCATCAAAATTTACATTCCTTTGGGCTAAGCACCCAAAGGTAAGGTTATGATTCCTCTTGTGGACCCAGGGAGAACTGGGAGGGAAGAGAAGGGGAGGAAAACAGGAGAGAAGAGAGGAAGGAGCTGAGTTGCCCAGCTGGAACTGGCCAGTTGGGCCCCCACGAGGCAGTTTGGACTACTTACAGGTTGTTGTTTGTCCTTCTGTTCTGGAAGAGGACCTTGGCTTCAGGAAGATGCCATGATTTGCAAATGAATTGGATTTAAGTGAGGGAGGACTGTGCAAGGTTACCAGCCTCACTAGCTCCTCTGGAACCATCTGAGTCTGGTGGCAAGATAAGGAAGACTGGAGGTGGCCCCCAACTGAGGAATAAAAATGGAGCAGTCTCCTTCCCTAGAGATATATAGATTTGTTCAAATGACTTTAAATAATGTTAGAGATAAGATAAGGTTCTGAATGCCTTCCATCATTAAGTAGCTTGACTTTATATCCATTATTAACTAGTTAAGAGCCTTCTGTGGTTCAGTGGTCCTGTTGTTAGGAAGCAGTCCTGATGAGGTTTAGGGGTGCTGGGACCCCAAAATCAGAACACACAGATCCTACCCAAAAGAATTCGACCCAGACTTTCTTTCAGCGAAAGACAAAGTTTATTAGAACATCCGTCATATTGGGCAGACTCTTAAGGAGTCTGAACATTAGTAAGCTATTAGCTAGATTATAAGAATCTAAGTAGTGGCTAGATTTTAAGAATCTGAGCACCTTAATGGAGACAAGATGGAACTTATATACAGAAAGACTGGGAGGGATCTGGGAGTGGCCAGTTAGTTGGGGGTGACTGGAGGGGGTCATCTAAGGAAGATCTAAATGGGAGTGGCCAGTAAGTTGGGGTGTTCAGAACTCCTGGACCTGGACCACTTGGCCAAGGAAGAATGGAGTCTAGTCAGGATTAAGGGTGGGAAATGGCTGGGGGTCCACAACGAAAGACCAGTTGGTTGGGATTATACACGTGTTTTTCCTTTTTTTGGGGTCTAGATCCCATCCTCATCAGTCCCACTTTCAGTCTTAAAGAAAAGGGGAGGAAGAAAGAAAATAAGCATTTATATAGCTCCTATGTGCTGTGCTAAGTGTTTTTTATAAATAATACTTCATTTGATCCTTCTATTCTGTTCCTATTCTATCTGTCCCCATAACTGATAGCACAAGGTCTGTTGAATAGTAAGATCGAAGTAATATCAATAATTCTGGTGGCTCAAAATTTTTTTTTGCCTAGTTAGTTTTTTGTTATTTCTCTTAGTCTCTGATAAGCCCCAAATCTATGTTTTATTGACACAGCTATTTAAACTGTTCATTTGCAGATGTTAAACTTAAGAGTTGATTGTATCTAAATAATTGAGGGGTCAGGGAGAAGGTTAGAATTTGAACTTTACAAGCAAATATTGTTAAATAAATAACATTTCCAAGAGGCTTAACTTTAGACACCTTCTGTTTTCCCCACTGTAGACCAGGTCTATATTTGATTATTTCCTCTTATGAATTCTCCTTATCAAGAAACTTGAATGACATTCAATCAATCTGTTAATTAGTCAGCATTTATCAAGTACCTGCTATGTAGCAGGCATAGAAACTAAGCACTTGGAGATACAAAAAGAGGTAAAAGATAGTCCCCCTGCCCTCAAGGATGCAAACAAATATATACATAGCAAGACCTATCTAGGATGACTAGGAAATAATTAAGAGGCACTCGAAATAAGAGAGGTCGCGGAAGGCTTCCTATGAAGGGTGGGATTTTAGTTGCTACTTAAAGGAAGCCAGGGATATCAGTAGTCAAAAGTGGAGGAGGTAGAGCATTCTAGGAAGTGGAGTCAGCCAAGGAAAATACTTAGAGCTGAGAGATCAGTGTCTTATTTATGGTTTGAAGAGTACATGGTAGGGAATAAAATGTAGAAAGACTGGAAAAGTGGGGCATGGGGGAGGCTAAGTTTTGTGGGGCTTTGAATTCCAGTTTTGTATTTGATCCTAGTGGCAATAGGGAGCTGCTGGAATTTATTGGCCAGATACTTTGCTAAGCAAGAAAGTGCTTAGCAAAGTATCATTATTATCTCATTTGATCCTCACCACAACCCTCAGTGATAGGTGTTTCTTATGGTTATCCCTTCCACGTCACAGGGTTAGGGGCCCAGCTGCCCTTGGAAAATCCACGTAAAATTTTTTGGCCCTCCCTTTGTACCATAAGAGAAGTCTGAATTATTATGGTATTAAAAGATAAAATATGTTGATATTATACAATACCGTACATATATTTTATGCATTTCTGAGTTTCTAAACTTCTGTGTCGTCTGCTGATCTTTGCGTGTTTTCCATCTCTTCCATGAAACTCCCAAAAAGTTCTTGTTTAATTTCTTCTGCTGACCCGCAGTATATTGAAATGGTGATGGGGAAAGTCTAGAAGGGATAACTATTATCCTCATTTTACAGATTAGGAAACTGAGGAAAACAGGTTAAATGACTTGCCCAGGATCACAAAGTTAATAAGTATCTGAGGTCAAAATTGGACTCGGGTCTTCCTGACTCCAGACCTGGAACTGTATCCACTGTGCCTCTAGCTAGCTGCTCAGTAGGAAGTTAATCAGAGATGAATAGAAAACATTCCTTGCCCGGGGTGCCCCGGATTGAAACTGGATAGCATGAATTTGTAATGCATCCAAACAGTAACTTTTGTGACTTTGTCTTGTTGTTCTAAACTTCTTTCAAGTAAAATTGGGGAAGGTGGATAGTGGGATTGACCCAGAGTAAGAGATTAGAAAGGCTGCAGCAACAGAAGGACAAGGGGGCAAGGGATTCAAGGGTAGAGGACAGTCCTCATTCAAAAGGCTAGTTGAGTCAAGCCAGGTTTGTGAGCATACATCTGTAATCCTTGCTGCTGGGTGAGATTGAGACTGATGTATTGCTTAAGCTTTGAGAATTCTGAATAGCAGTAGCTAAAGCTGATCAGTTGTCCACACTAAGGCTGCACCATGTGGTGAATCCTCAGGAGGAGCCAGGGACCTGTCAAGCTGGTTATGGAGCAGTAAATCAGTCCAGGTCAGAAATGGGGCCTATCAAAGGTTCTCTGCCATTGTACAGTAGCATCTGGCCTATGAGTAGCCACTGTACTCCTAGCTTGGGTGCAATAGGGAGACTCGGTCTCAATCAAACAACAGACAAACAAATAAATAAAGGGTTAAGACTGAAGGACTGTGGTGAAACCAGGGGAGGAGTAATCTACTGGGTCCACAGGAAATAAATTGTATACTTGCCTTTTTATATACTCAGTATTTTATACAAATGTACACTTATTGAAATGAAAAGAAAGCTAATGAGTATGAAATACTATACACCTGAATTCCTTCTACCTAAACAAGATTTGTCATGTTAGATACAAGCTGCTCATTACTACTCACAAAATTTTATAGTGTTTTTTTAAGTTGGATTTTTTTTTTGCTAATTTTATTTTAGCTTCTGTGAAAAACATTCCCAGATTTTTAGGGGGGTGAAATTTTAAATGTAAATCCCTAAACTTTGTTTTTCCTCTTATTCAGTTAGGTGGAGGTGAAGAAAAGCAAAAAGAAGGAAAAAAGAAAAATAAAGAAGGATCTACTGATGGAGGTCGAACAGAGGTAAATTTCTTTTTTTAATATTTAAAAAAATTTTTAAAATTAATTTATCTTTTGTTTTCGACAATCACTTCCATAAGCTTTTGAGTTTTAAATTTTTTCCACCTCCCTCCCCAATACAGCATGCAATCTGATATAGGCTATTATATATACATTCCTATTAAACATTCCTGATATACATTCCTATTAAACATATTTTCATATTAGTCATATTGTAACAAAAAATTAGAAGCAATAGGAGGAACCATGAGAAAGAAACAAAACAAAACTGAAGAAAAAAGAGCAAAATAGTATCCTTCAATCTGCATTCCAACTCCATCATTCTTTCTCTGGATATGGATAGCATTTTCCATCAGACTTTTGGAGATGTCTTAGATCCTTGCATTACTGAGAAGAGCTAAGTCTGTCAAAGTTAGGCATATCGTAATGTTAGATACCTCACAACATGGCTATTACTGTGTACAATGTTCTCCTGGTTCTGCTCACTTCACTCAGCATCAATCCATACAAGTCTTTCCAGGTTTTTCTGAAGTCCATTTGCTCATCATTTCTTATAGCACAATAGTATTCCATTACATTCATGTACCACAACTTATTTAGCCATTCCCCAGTTGGTGGGTATGTTCTCAATTTCCAATTCTTTGCTGCCACAGAAGGAGCTGCCATAAATATTTTTGTACATGTGAGTCCTTTTCTCATTTTTATGATCTCTTTGGGATACAGCCCTGGAAGTGTGCTATTACTGGGTCAAAAGGTATGCACAGTTTTATAGCCCTATGGGGGCTAGTTCCAAATTGCTCTCCACAATGGTTGGATCAGTTCACAGGTCCACCAACAATGCATCGTTGTTCCAAATTTCCCACATCTTCTCCAACGTTTATCATTTTCCTGTTTTGTCATATTGGGCCAATCTGATAGGTGTGAGGTAATACCTCAGAGTCGTTTTGATTTGCATTTCTCTGATCAGTAACAATTTTGAGCATTTTTTCATATGACTATAGAAAGCTTTAATTTCTTCATTTGAAAACTGCCTGTTCTTTTCCTTTGACCATTTATCAATTGAGGAATGACTTGTATTTTTACAAATTTGACTTAGTTCTCTATATATTTTAGAAATGAGGCCCTTTTTAGAGATGCTGGTTGTAAAAAATTCTTTCCCAGTTTCTGCTTCCTTCCTGATCTTGGTTGCATTGCCTTTTTGTGTAAAAATTTTTCAGTTTAATGTAATCAATATTATCCATTTTGCATTTCATAATGCTCTCTATCTCTTGTTAGTTTATAAATTCTTCTGTTCTCCACAAATCTGACAGGTAAACTATTACTGGCTCTCCCAGTTTGCTTATAGTATCAGCCTTTATATCTCAATCATGTACCCATTTTGACTTTATTTTGGTATATGGTATAAGATTTTGGTCTATGTCTAGTTTCCTCTTCATTGGTGTTGAATTCACGCTTTTCATTTTATCATACTAGTGATTTGTTTTTCTTTTTTCTTTAATTTACCAAAGGTTTATCTATTTTATTGGTTTTTTGTTTTTTCATAAAACCAGCTCTTAGTTTTCTTAATTCAGTAGTTTTCTTAATTTCAGTTTTATTAATCTCTCCTTTGGTTTTTAGTATTTCTAATTTGGTATTTAATTGGGGATTTTTAATTTGTTTCTTTTTCTGTTTTTTTTTTAGTTGCATGCCCAATTCATTGATCTCTTTCTCTATTTTATTCATGTAAGCATTTAGAGATATAAAACTTCCCCTAAGAACTGCTTTCACTGCATCCTGTAAGTTTGGTATGTTGTCTCATTATTGTCATTGTCTTGGATGAAGTTATTAATTGTTTCTGTGATTTGTTGTTTGACCCATTCATTCTTTAGAGGTATATTCCTTTCTGTCCCCATTCAGTTTTCTCCAGAGGTCTACTATCTAACTTTTCTAAAATTCTATTCACCTCCTTAACTTCTTGTTTATTTTGTGGTTAGATTTATCTAGTTCAGAGGGGAGTGAGGTTAAGATCTCCCACTAGTATAGTTTTGCTGTCTGTTTCTTCCTGTAACTTCCTGAACTTCACCTCTAAGAATCTGGATGCTATACCACTTGATGCATATATGTTTAGTAATGATAGAATGAACTTCATTGTCTGTGGTGGTAAGATCTATTTGTGCTTTTACTTTGTCTGAGATTAGGATCGCTACCCCTGCTTTTTTTTACTTCATCTGAAGCATAATATATTCTACTGCAACCTTTTACCATTACCCTGTATGTATCCCTCTGTTTCATATGTGTTTCTTGTAAACTACATATTGTAGGATTATGGTTCTTAATCCATTCTGCTATCTACTTCTGTTTTATGGGAGAGTTCATCCCTTTCACATTTACAGTTATGCTTACTATCTGTGTCTTTTTCTCCATCCTATTTCCCTCCTGTTTATGAGTTTCTTGCTCCTTTCTCCCTTTCTCTCACTAGTGTTTTGCTTTTGACCTCCTCCCTTCTATTAGCCCCCTCCCTTTTCTTCCCCTTTATCTTTATTACTTCTTCCTTCCCTTCTATCCCCTCTCCCTTTTCCCTCCTATTGCCTATAGGGCAAGTTAGTCCCAAATTTTGGGGGTTTTGTGTAGCTGTTTTCAGAGATACTTTCAGAGACCTGTAAATTTTCATTTCTTCCAAAGTGATATGATAAGGGGCGAGGTGTTTACTCCTCTCCTGGCCTGTGCTGTGGTCTATGAGTCACCACAAGCACTCTTTTCTGCCTTGGAACTGTGAGGAGGATTTCCTTTCCACCACACCAACGTTCCTCCTCACCCCAGGACCGCCACCCAGAACTATGACCCAGATCCAAGCATGGGCAAAGCAAGAGATTCCTGCCTCAGCACTGGCAGAGAGATCCCTGCAATCCCCCTCCGATCAGCCATCCCATTCCACCTCAGTCAGTGAGTCAGAAGGTCCGGAAGCAGTCACCACCCCTGGGGCTGCATGCAGGGACTGGGGCTTGCCTTTGGCGTTCATGGGTTGAGAAGTCTGGAAACCACAATAGCTGCCCATGATTCAGTCCTCTGAGGGCTGCTCCAGGTTCACTGAGGCCTGTTTTGCCTGCCCACCCACACTAAACTGGGTTCCTCTCCCTGCCTGGTGTGATATGCCTTCTCTGATCAACTGTCCAGGTTGTCTTGGGCTAATTTGTTTCACTGTCTTTTTGTGGGTTCTGCTGCTTTAGAATTTGTTTAGAGCCATTTTTTACAGGTATTTGGAGGGGTTTGGGGGAGAGCTCAAGCATGTCACTGCTTTTACTCCACCATCTTGGCTCCATCCCCCCCGAACTAAATTTTTAAAAAAGACACTATCAGATTGTTGGTTGAAGGAATCTATTTTTTCCTTTGATATCCAAAGTTAGGTCTAGGAATTATAATATTTAGGAATTTCATTCTGCTACTTATAATTGCATAATGCTAAAGGAAGCATCAGGGAGAAAAGATTTTCTAAAAAAGAATTGAGATTAGAAGCTGTTAATGAGAGGAAAAACAAACAGATGAGAACAAGAGGTTTACAGGGAGACATACAGGTGGGATAGCTTTAGAACTAATATGTTGAATTTTTATTTCATTTTATTTATTTAATTTTTTAAGGGAGTTTGGAATGGAGATTCAGTTTTATATATAGCCCTTATTTTCTGTTCTTTGTGTATGGAAATTTGTTAACCGTTTTTTTTTTTGTTTGTTTGTTTGTTTTTGTGAAGCACTGTATGACAAAAAAAAAGTTCTAAAAATATTAAAATAGAAAGGAAGCAGGAAAAAAATTGATTGTGAAGAAGAGTTTATGGTCAAAAAAGTTAGAAACTGATTCTAGGACCCTTTTATTGAAGACTTAAGAAATATTAATATAGTACATAAGTTTATATTGAAAAAACAAGGAGCTTAAAAGGAACCCAGTTTTCTGAATCCTGGAGGTTGGTATAGACCAGAGGTTACCTTGAAAATCATTTAGATGTAGGTTGCACCTTCTGGGATTTCTCAGAACCTAGAGTGGACACTGATCTTTGGAAAGACAAATTGCTCTGGAACCTAAGGACCTGGGTTCAAAGACCACCTCTGTATGACCATAGGAAAGTCACTTAATCTTCATGGGCCTCAGTTTCATCATCTGTAAAGAAGAGGCAGTTGGAATAGATGACTTTCCTCAGTCCCTTCTCGCTCTAAAATCCATAATCTTTCTCCTGTCCCTGAGAACCACATTTCATTGGACTTAGACTCATAGAACCAACCTATATTTAAACTCATCTCTGGTTGTAGTGTGACAGGATGAAATTAGCCTTATACCCTTCTTCTGTTCTGTTTGATGTTGACTGCCTATGAGCAATGTTACACTTTCTGTTTTAGTAATTTTAGGCATTTTTCCAGAAGTTAGTACAAAATTTCCAGTGGAATGCAGCAGAACAAAGGAACCAATTTTTAGCTGTGTGTTAGAACAGGTTTCACTAGCTTTTCTTAGAGAGAGCTGTCTCTACCAGTAATGTAGCCGATTAATTTGTAATGCTTTAGTTTACTTCCTCCAATTCCTCCCTCTCAGCAAAGAGCTGTGCCTCCTCTTTTACTAAGGATATAGAGGCTATCCTTTGTGAACTCTCTGTCTTTCTCTACCTGAGAACTCTTAACCATCATTCTCCATTCTCTTCTTTATTTGACAAAGAGCAGGTCCTTCCTGCCAAGGTCAGTCCTTCTATTTACATCATTTCCAGTTCACTTTTTTGACCATCCTCTCTTACCTAGTTCTTTGTTATTTCTTCCCCTCACTTGATAGTACCATCTCCTCAACCTATCACTGTATCACTATCCTACCTTTCACACACATCTTTAGAAGAAGCTGTCTGTAGTCATCATTGCTGTAAGAGTTAGTATGAAAGAGTAATGTGAAAGAAACCTCAAAAGAAAATTGGCATAGTTTTTTTATCAGGGGAGTGATAGAATTAGACCTATGCCTTAGATTATTTTTAGCAGCTCTGTAAAGTATGGGAAATTATGGATCCTATCAATATCTTCCAAGGATTTATGTTCTTCCTTGCCTCTGCAGCAGGTGTTGGCACATAAACATTAATCACCCTCATGATGGTCTTTTTATTTGTGTTCATCATCTCCACTGCAAGTGAGAAAACCAAGTGTTTCGTGATGCTTCTTGTTATCTTGGCTATGTAGTGAAACTGGCTCCTTCATTTGCTTTTCTGAGGAGAACTTGTTACTGGTCCTTCAAGACAGAAACACCTTTGTCCATTTCGCTTTCATTTGTAATGAGAATATCAGTATGGATGTAATTCAGTATTTCTAGGAATGTATTTTCTCGTTTGGCTAGATAGAAACTTCATATTTAAAGTAGTACCAAGAGTTAAATTAATGTTTATAAATGTCTTAAAACCATGTAATTCTCAGACTATTTCCTTTTCTGTTTTGCCACCTTCATGGAAGCTGTACAAGGCTGAAGACTTGTATTTTTATCTATTTCATGAGATCTCGCGGCCAGAGAATTAAAACCTGTGGATGATGAGCCCTTCTTTGCCTAATAAGGCTGGTCTTCAGACCCTAGATAGAATTCTGTCATTGGACCTGCGCTTATCCCATTTGGTAGGGCCTGCACTTGTCTGCCATAACCTTAAGGAACCTGTGGTCATCTGCATACCTCAGTGAGACACTGGGCTAGGAGTTTTGAGATACTGGTTTTGTCTAAAGGCACTTTTCAAATTTTAACTTGTTAAGGTATTTAGATATTGTATAGGATTACTGAATATGTGTAAGTTATCAATGGGCATATTTGAATAATTCTTAATATAGCTAAAGCCATTTGGAAATAGAAACTTAGAGAAATGGTAACAATTCTCTAATCACTTACACATCTGTTGTTCACATTACTTGTTGCGTGCTAAAAGTATACATTGTTTTAGATGAATGGTAGTACATAAACAATTGTAATTTAAGTCCTCAGTAATTTGAGTGTCACTGCTGCCTGATTATGGTTTCTTTGTTTGAATTGTGACGCATGTTCATAATAGCAGTGACTTTAGCAACTAATGAAAGTCAGTTTCTTAAGCCCTTTTTTGAACTTCAGAGCATCTTTGTGGATGGTTCATCCAAAATATATTTGGGCAAGGGTCCTGGCTGAAAGAGGAGATTTTAAGCAGAATTTGGGTGGTGGAGGACCTAAGATCACCGTCTCTGGAGTCAGAGGAGCTGGGTTCAAATCCTTTGCTGAAATTTGCTACCCTTTTGACTGTAGACAGATAACATAAACACCTGAGCATCAGGTTCTCTTATTTTGGGTTCTGAAGTTCCTTCCAGTTTCATATCCGTGTTCCTGGAAGGTTGGAAAGACAATATAAGGGGTCAGCAAGAAAAGGAAAAGGAAGTTAGTTGTGGCTGTCAAGATACTAGCAAGGTAAACATTGGGCTTCACCAGCAGTTTGCCACAGCCATTCTTCAAGTAAGCTACTAGCAGGAATGACAAAGGAGTTGAGAATTCACTTTCAGCAAGAAAGGCAGGCAAGAAGAATTTTGCACTGACTTGCACTGAATATGCAATGATATATTTCTGCCATTCCCAAGTAATTGTTATGATAGAAAACCACAAATCAATATTATCTCTGTATTTGTTAGTTTTTTTTAAAACATTTCCCAATTACATTTTAATCTTATTTGGCCTACTGGCCATGAGTTTGACACCTCTGCCCTTGAGGGTAGCTACAGTTTAAGCTGTAAGAAAAAGAATAACACTAGATACCTCTAAAAGCTTGTGGTGAGAAAATGTAAGAAGAAAGTCATCAATGAAGCACATAACCTCAGATGGCCATATAAGAAGTTAGGAAGTAGTAGTAAAAAGCACAATAAGCTACAAATTCTGGTGCAGGGAGGCAGACTTCACTTCATAGTGTGGAATGGTGGAATTAGACCCATACCTCGAATATTGCTCTGTAACTGAAAGAGAAAGAGACTCTTTATGTGCAAAAATATTTATAGCAGATCTTTTCGTAGTTGCCCAAAATTAGAAACTAATGGTGTCCTTTATGGGAAATGGCTAAGCAAATTGTGATCTGTGAATGTAGTGAACTATTGTGCCATGAGAATGATGAAATAACCAATTTCAGATGAATCTGAGAGGACCTTATGGAGGGATGCAGAGTAAAGTGAGCTGAACTGTGAGAACAGTCTTTAAAATTTAACAGTATAGAGAAGAAAAAAACAAACTTTAGAAGTCTTTACAGATTGATAAACCACAAGTCAAAAAGAATAAAAATGATACATGCCACTCATTTCCGAACAGAGAGGTGATGAATTTAAAATGTGGAAAAGGATATAGATTTTCATCCTTGACCAAGGTAAGAGTTTGTTTTGCCAGACAATGCATTTATGGGCTTCATATTATCATTGTTTGTTTTTGTTTTTTGCTCAGTTGCAGAGTAGCATGAGGATTGGGTAAATCAAAGGGGGAAAATGTAGTTGAAAAGAATTGTAATTAGCAGTGTCATTAAGGATACTAAATTTTGAGAAACTTTGCACCAAAAAGAAGTTTACCCAATACTTTAATATTATTATTGGCATAATTTTTGTTATAAATATCTATGCATGAATTGTAATTTTAAAAAATCCCATCTTTAGTCCCTGTAGCACAGACTATTCTCTGTGCATAGTTGAATTACTTCAGCTGCTCTTCCCAGCTTTGTTTTCTTTGTCATTTCATCTTCCTTATACAGTACATGAGGGGTTGTGATATCAGAGTCCAAACGTGGTGACTCAGATCATTGATGAAAAAAAAGTTGTCTGTAGCTTCAAATCCCTTTTTTGTCTTCAGATTTCGTGTGAATATCATAAGAGATATGATTTCTTTCTTTTGGTAATGGATCTACTTGTTGATTGATCAACAGTGATTTCCTGTTTAATGGGCATACATCTATAAATATTTGCAAACCATCCAAAATTGTTAGTCAATATAGAAATAGGAGGAAATTTTTTTAATGCAGTGATTTCATGCCCTGCCCCCCACGGGAGCCCACCCCAGTACTGAGTGCCATTGTACTTATTAATCTCTGGGTTTTACGTCCCACAGTGGTCAAGTTACTAATGATGAACTTTTTTTTATATAAAATTGGTAGTGATATTTTAATTGTTTAGTGCTCTGATTTACAAATATTTCTCTTCCCCTCCATCTGTCCATTATAACAAAGAATAAAAAAAGATGAAAAGGCAGTTCATCAAAACTAACCAACATAGTTGATGAATGTTTTCATATAGGTAGTTATGATTGGCCCTTGGAAAGCAGATAGCTGTTGCCAAAACTTCTGGTCCTTTCCAGCATGGCATGGACTGCCAGGGCTTGTGTCCAGGGCTAGGAAGTTGATTCTGGTTTTCCCCCTACCTGTTTGACTGTTGCTTCTCAGCCTTCTCTGCAGGATCTTCATCCAGAACATACCTGTCATTAGTGGATCCTCCCCCCAGGTATCTGTCCTGGGCCCTCTTCTATCTTTATAACCTTTCTCTTGGTGATCTCATCAGCCCCCATAGATTCAGTGATCATCTCTGTATTGATGATTCTGAAATCTACTTATCCATCCCTAACCTCTCTGTTGACCCGCAGCGTAGCATCTCCAACTTCCTGTTGGACATTTTGAACTGGTTACTAAACTGAGTGTTTTCGAAACTAAACTCATTATCTTTCTCTAAAAAAACCTTCCCTTGTTCCTAATTAGCTTCCCTATTATTAGATACCACCATCCTCCCGGGCTTGTGATCTAGGTTTCATTCTTAACTCCTCACTTTGAACACCACCATTCCCCTCCCCCCACCAAATCCAATTTGTTCCTAAGGCATGTCAGTTTCTGCTGCTACCCTGGTCTAAGAGTGATGGTTTATTTATCTATCTATCCTTTATTTTCCTCATCTTATTTGTCTTGCAGTTGAATCCTTGGCCTGAATATATCAACAAACGTCTTGAGATGTACGATAAACTTAAAGCAGAACATGATGCCATTATGTTAGAGAAAGCTTTGAAAGATAGTCAGCCAATTAAAGTCATCTTACCTGATGGTAAACAAGTTGATGCTGAATCCTGGAAGACTACTCCATACCAAGTGGCTTGTGGAATTAGGTATGAAACACCTTTATTTATTTTTGTACTCTTTTATACTCAAATTAAGTTGCCTAATATGGTTTTATATTTTCTTCACTCATTGGGGTTAAAAAAAATCTAGTTTATTGTAGTTTTATGGATTTAAGAGAAAATTTATTTTCTAATTTTAACCCCTTTAAAAGATATTTTTGTTTACTTAGTCAAATTTTGACCAGAAGCAAGTGTCACATTCAGGGAGACTTATCTGTCATCATGTTTAATGTCAAAATAACCATTATTGGAAGTAAAAAGGAACACCAGTTATTTGAAGGGGTTTGGGGGAGAGCTCAAGCAAGTCACTGCTTTGACTCTGCCATCTTGGCTCCACCCAAATTCTGTAATACTTGTTTTGGAAACATGAAAATTGTTGCAACAGAATTTATATATTAAGGAACAATTTGAGCATAATGCAGATTTCATATTTGCCTATGTGTGATTTTATCTGAGAAATAATGGGTGAATGCAAAAAACTGCACCCAGCTGACCCAGCCCTGTAGGAATACACAAAATGCACACATTTCAAACATCTTCCAGCTACCTCAATTCCATGTGAGTTATCTTACTTCATTATGTTTTGCTATTCTTTTGTATCTCTAAATTTTTCTACGTAAAAAAAAATTCCAAGCATGTCTAACCGGCATAGTTTGAAAACACCAAGCAGTACATGCAAGAGGAAAACTTTAAGTATTGAGGATAAGCTTGAAATAATAAAGTGTTTTTAAAGAAACAGGAGAACATAGGATGTCTTCTGATCAGCAGTCATAAAGGAGTCCACATTGTGGCCCATCAGACAGTGCTGTGAAAATCAAAGAAACTTATATGCCTGGAAGTGTTGTGTCCTTTGTCCCATTTTCCACATAAGCTCTGTGATTTTTATTGAGCAGTTTTGCATAGCACTGTGATTTTTAGGAATTCATATGTCATATAGCAGAACTGACTGTACACTACATCCTTGTTTTACAGGTTAGAAATTCAGGTTCAAAAAGACCTACCCTAAGCCACAGAGCAAATTAGTGACAGGACCAGAGCTCTATGTCTCAGATCTCGTTTCCTATTCCAGTTTTATTCTTGGGAAACCATGCTGTCTTCCCTATTGTTTTGATGTTCAGGATTAAGGAAGAGTTAGATGTCTCTCTGAGAGACCTGATTGAATGAATCCAAATTGAAGTGATTAATATAAATCTTCATATTTGGTTAGTGAGCTGAAGAGAAGTTGCTTAACATTTCATAAAACCCAAAAGAGGGTTTCCTTGTTGCACTTCCAGTCTCCGAATTGTGTGGTACTCTGTGAAAAACCATTACACCAGAAGTGACAGGGTCATCAGGAATAAGAGTCTGGCTGTGGAAACACTTAAGACATTTTTGAGGGAGGATAAATGACACTCATAAGACTGAAAAGCCAAGTAAGGCCAGATTGCAGAAGGCTCTGAATACTAGGCCATATAATCTTGTATAATTTTAGTAATCACAATACTTCGTATAGGGAAGGCATGAAATAAACAGAGGCACAACACTGATGATCTTGTCAGGAACGTCTTGTTGAATCCTCCTTTCTTCCTATCAAATTTTTCTGGTCTCTGAGGATCAAATTTTTCCATTCCAGGCTGAAGGTGATCTCTTCCTTTCAGTTTTTGGAATAGTTAGCAACACCTCATATTAGTATTGAGGTAAGATATAGTGTGCCGTCCGGTCCCCCCACACACACTTTCCTGTCTTGTAGTCAAAGGTTATGTGTGTTTAATGAAAAAGAGAGTCTTTGAATTATATCCATAGCACTTTGAATTGGACCCCTAATCACCTGCTGCTGTTACTTTTTTGTTTGTTTTTTTGGTATCATCCCTAAAATTTCCTATTTCTCCTGGACTCTTCGGCTGTATTGTAAGCTCTTAAGGGTGTCATATTTACCTGCAGTGCCTTGCAAATAGTGCTTAATGAGCTGGTATTGATTGACTTTAAAAAAAAAAAAACAACTTTTAAGATCATTTATGATGGTCAGTGCCTTGAAACTATAGCTAAGCCTTATACACAGAAAAAAATATAACATAGCTTTCAAATATTCTTTATTAGTGTAATGAAATACTTTGTTATATCCAAAGCTTGATGACACTAATGAAGCATCTTTTTATGTTGTATAATTATGAACACAGGCTAGGCCAGAGTTCATATAGGTTTTATAAGCTTTGTTTCACTTAACAGAGAAAATAATGGAACTGTCTCATTGACTTTTGAAAACAAAATATCCTCCCAAATTGTCTTAATAACAAAGTATTGAGAACAATTTTTGTTTTACCGTGACTGTGTTGGTATAAGTTATGGGAATATTTATTGTACCTTCAAAAAGAATTTTTCTGAACAGTTAAAATATTCCTATAGTCATCTGCAGCTTCTTTAGTGTTTTGTCTGTTTTCCTAGGAGAACAAATGTATAGTTTTAAAAGTCATAGGGAGTTATTTAAGCAGCTTAAGAAACTTATTATTAGGGCCTGAGTCATTCAGAATTGATTTTCTTTTTGGTAAGCAAATTTTATGTAGTAGTAGAAAAGTTCATCAAATATTTATTAAGTTATCCTTTTTACTTTATTGGGGTTTTTTCCCCTTTTATTTCTCTTGATTTTGTTACTATGATTTTAGATGTTCTTAGTTTTCTTAACGTTTCCATCAAAACTAAATGTTGAACTAAAAAGAATGTCCCACAGTTTGACATTTCACATGAATTATCATTATCATCATCTGTTTTTAGTCAAGGCCTAGCTGATAACACAGTAGTCGCCAAAGTAAACAAGGTTGTGTGGGATCTAGACCGCCCCCTGGAGGAAGACTGTACGTTGGAGCTTCTTAAATTTGAGGATGAAGAAGCTCAGGCAGTAAGTTTTTAGTTGTAACATTCATGTTTATTGTCTTTTTCCCTACCCATTTTTAAATTCTTGCCCAAAGTGCTATGCATGATTAGCTAAAGCTTATAAAACTAATTTCAAAATTTTATGTGCCTAATTTAACACTAAAATTTGACCTTACTTTCAAGTTTTATGTTTGTCTTTGTTCTTGGAGTGGGGGGAGAAGACAAAATGTGTATGTGCTTTTATTAAAAAATCAAGATGTAGTATTAAATGAATTCTTTCATTATCACAAAATGTTGGGGGTGGAGCTAGTTTTTTTTTTTTTTTTTAACATGATCAAGAATTGGTGCAAAGTGAAATAAGCAGAACCAGGCAATACACAAAATGGTGGCAATAATGAAAATAGTGCAATGACTACAAAATGGCTGAAACTGAATGTTGAAAAGTTGTAAAGAACAAGCTTGGCCCCAGAGAAGAGATATGAGAAGATACTTCCCTCTGTTCCTTTGCAGTTGAAGGGGTCCAAAGGAACATTGCATATATAACATCAAATTTTTTTCATTGTGATGATGAACTTATTTTTCCTTTCCCTTCCTTTTGGGGGGAAAAAACAACTTTGTTATAAAAGATGGCTTTCTGGGACAAGGTTGGGGCAAGTAATTAATCAATAATTATGTTTTATATATTATTGCAATTATATTTTATTATTATAATAATAATGATTAATCAAAATGCTGAGTAAAGTCAAACTGTATCATGTATCCTTCTAAATATTACCTCTTATGCCCTGTGTTTTTTCTCAAGATATATAAATCAGCATTTGAATTTGAACATCCAAGGAAATAAATGTAATTTTCTCCTCAACTATGCAATTCAATGCATTTTTTTGGTGCATTCTTTTTTTTGGTGAGGGAAATTGGAGTTAAGTGACTTGCCCAGTCACACAGATAGTGAATGTTATGTGTCTGAGGCCGTATTTGAACTCAGGTCCTCCTGACTCCAGAGCCGGTGCTCTATCCACTGCACTACCTAGCTGCCATGCATTCTTCTTAAAACATATATACAAAACTTCAGAAGCATGTGACAATATAATATAAATGAACCCTAAAGTTTCTCCTTAAGATGCTGCCTACCTATGTATTTTTTTTCAGGTATAGAAGGTAAAAAGAGTCTCATTTCCTACAATCTAGTTTAGTCTAACCTATTTTGTTGCAAATTACAGAATTCTTAATTATATTTTCTAGTGTTTTTGAACAGCATAAATGTATAGCTATTCTACATCCTTGTTTGGGTTTATGACAAGCACATTTCTTGCTCAGTTGCCTTTTCTCTTCTCTCTTTTTTTTGGAGGAGGGGCACTAGGCGATGGGAGTTAAGTGACCAGGGTCACACAGCTAGTAAGTGTTATATGTCTGAGGTTGGATCTGAACTCAGGTCCTCCTGAATCCAGGGCCGGTGCTTTGTGCACTGCGCCACCTAGCTGCCCCTCCTTTTCTCTCAAAGAAAAATAGATGGTGCATCAGTAATGAGAATCTGCTTAAATGATTTTAGTTTATTGAACTGCAGATTAAGATTTTTTCCAAAATAACTTTTATGTCATCTTGTTCTTAAAGCAAGGATATGTCTCTTGCATTTTTTCTTATAATTCTTTATTTCATAAAGACAATTAAACTTTTTTAAAAAAAATTATGATGACAAATGTAAATTTTAAACACTGCTTAAACCAGTAATCAGATCTAGTATAGGGTACATCTAAAATCTCAAAATTTGGACTGATTGTTTTTTCCCTCCTCTATCTAAGATAGCAACAATCAATATTATGCTGTAATTTTAATTGTTTACATTAGCCAGTAGCAGCTAAAACATTTTGTTACCTTGTCACCTTCACAATCCATCTGTGTGCTTCTGAAGCTTTGCTACATATCTTTGGCATTATTTTTCTTCTTTATATAGTTGTAGTCCATGTATATGCTTCTTGTTACTATCCCAATTTGCACTACTCTACATGTCTTTTCATTATTTCCCTATATCCTTCAAATTTGTCAATTTTTATGACACTTCAATGTCATTCTTCAAGCATTAGACTAATTTTTAGTGCTTTGTGTTAAGATTAAAATAGCTATCAACATTTTTGTAAGATGGGTTCTTTTTTTTTCCATATATGCCATCCTACCAGTAGGAATTGTTGAGCCCATGGGCCTAATCAGAACTTTAGGGTTCATTTATATTATATTGTCACATGCTTCTGAAGTTTTGTATATATGTTTTAAGAAGAAAGAATGCATGGCAGCTAGGTGGTGCAGTGGATAGAGCACCGGCTCTGGAGTCAGGAGGACCTGAGTTCAAATACGGCCTCAGACACATAACATTCACTATCTGTGTGACTGGGCAAGTCACTTAACTCCAATTTCCCTCACCAAAAAAAAGAATGCACCAAAAAAATGCATTGAATTGCATAGTTGAGGAGAAAATTACATTTATTTCCTTGGATGTTCAAATTCAAATGCTGATTTATATATCTTGAGAAAAAACATAGGGCACAAGAGGTAATTTTAGAAGGATACATGATAAAGTTTGACTTTACTCAGCATTTTGATTAATCATAAACTTGCTGTTTATTGGCAGATTGCTCTTCAAAAAGCTAGCACTATTTTAAAGATCCACCAAAAATAGAGTAAGACAGTAAAATTTAAAAATTTGAATGACTTGCTCAGAATATCTTTAAAACAACCTAGAATTTTGAATTCTTTGCTTTTAGTTCTATAACTCATTGTAGAATTTCTAATCTGGACAGATTCAAAGGTTCAAACTGTAAATCTACACAGTAATAGCATTATGTATTTAGGTTAGCTTAAAACGGATTAACTGCTCTACTTTTAAATTACAGTCATAGTGCCCAATTTTGTTTTGTAGAATGTATTGTAATGTACCCCTGAGACTCATGCCACCATACTTGTCTTTCATTTTTCAGGTATACTGGCACTCGAGTGCTCATATAATGGGTGAAGCCATGGAGAGAGTCTATGGTGGATGCTTGTGCTATGGTCCACCAATAGAAAATGGCTTTTATTATGATATGTACCTTGAGAATGGGTAAGTTCAATTAAGTTCTGATTATATGAGTACATAAATTTAAAGGCTTCATAACATGAGACATAACTAAATAATAAGGTGGATTTTTTTTCCCTGTGTTTTGCTTATAGAGTAAGTTTGGTTACTCTTGAGGTAACACATATATTTTTCACAGTAAACAACTTAAACATTATTCCCTACATGCATAGCAATGCTGGCTCTAAGATTTTTTAATTCTTAGATCTCTAAAGCCATAGGGACCTTAGCTTTGGGGGAAGGAACAGTAATAACTCACATGTATTAATAGTACTTTAAAGTAAAGTTGGCAAAGTGCTTTCCTCACAATGGCTTTGTCAGATAGGCAGTGCAAACATAATTTGATTTTACAAATAAGGAAACTGACGTTCAGAGAGTTCAAGTGAGTTCCTTATAATATACCCCACCCAAAAGGGACGGTCAGGATTCAAACCTACTTCTTCTAGAACTATACCTGGCTTCCTCTGAAGCTGTTTGCTTTCCTCATTTTCTGGCTAAGGCTCGTATTATCTCCAAAGTAAGAATAGTGTCTAATATGAAATGTAAAAACTTGTTATGCTAAAAAGTCGCAAAAATCTCTAATGCACTGTGTATGTTGTGTGTATAGTGTGTATATGCATACATATATGTATGTTTAGAGCAGCTAGATGGTACAATGGATAGAACCTGGAGTCAAGTGAACCTGAGTTCATTTGTGGCCTCAGACACAAGGCAAGTCACTTAACCCTGTTTGCTTCAGTTTCCTCATCTAAAATGAACTGGAAAAAGAAATAGCAAGCTACTCCAGTGTCTTTGCCAAGAAACCCCAAATGGGGTCATGAAGAGTCAAACACCACTGAAACAACTGAACAACAAGAATGTGTCTGTATATATGTGTGCATATACATGTGTGTATTGTGTTATGTCTACATACACAACACACGTGTGTATGTGCATTGTGTGTTTATGCGTGCATGTATACATATTAGTGCTAATTTTCCTGATGAAACTAAAATTTTATTTTAAAATATTGTATCTTTGCACTCTTTGTTGTCTTTAAAATTAAGACAAATGTATCTTTTTTTCTTTTCACCTCCAGAGGCGTGTCTAGCAATGATTTCTCTGCTTTGGAGGCTTTATGTAAGAAAATCATTAAAGAGAAACAGTTATTTGAAAGACTGGAAGTTAAGAAAGAAACCTTGCTTGAAATGTTTAAGGTAAGTTGTACTTAGTACAGGAAGACACAGGTCTGAGGGGCTTTCACTGCTTAGTTTTTAACATTGCCTCACATTTATCTTCCTTTAGTGTTAGGAATTGTCTACCTGATGTTTAGTATGCTAAGTTGAAGACTGTTGAGGAAACTTCTTGGATATTTTAATATTGTTAGCTTTCATACATGAAGCATTTCTGTATTGAATGTGGTTATAGGTCATTCATGAATTACAGTATTCAGTTTTTGAAATCTTTGTTAATATAATAGTTGCTTAATAAATTTATTGAACTTCAGTGAATGAAGTACCTAATATTGCAAGATGAAATACAGAAATAAAAATGAGGTAGACCCTGCCTTCAGGAAAGTTACATTGTATTCTGTGGAAAGGGTGAAACAAGGATATAGCAAGACAATGCAAGTTGAGCTTTAAGGAGTAGTTGACGTGTGAGCTAAGTTCTGAAGGAAGATGAGGATTCTGAGAGAGATGAAAGGCATAGCATTCCAGGAGTGGGGACAGTTTGTAGAAATAATTTGTCATACAGAGCTGAACATTTAGATGAGAATTATATTACTTTCTAATTTTCTCTTTTTTAGTACAATAAATTCAAGTGTCGGATCTTGAATGAAAAAGTGAATACTCCGACTACTACAGTCTACAGGTGAGATTACAATATCTTGTAATAATAGCACAATAAGAATTTATAGCACACATGGCAATGCTTTTTTTCTTATTTAGTATTTAAGTTTATGATGTTTCTTTTTCTTATTGTGTATTTAAGTTTTAGAAATTTAAAAAAAAAGAATTTATTGTTAATTCAGTGTGATGGAAGTCCATCCATTTAAAGTTTTGTGTAAATTGTCTTCATACCTTTTAGGTGTGGTCCCTTAATAGATCTATGCAGAGGTCCTCATGTACGACATACTGGCAAGATTAAGACTTTGAAAATTCACAAGGTAAGTCTATATAATCTCAGAATGCCTGTTTTAAAATTTTTTATCTAGAAGGCATTCCTAATACTAGGTTTGAATATTTTTAGGACCCCTGTTTTAGTTTTTCTTACTATCTTCCCACTTATGTTTAATTCATTTTTATTTATATCTGTATGCTTATTATTAATTCTCTTTCGTGTTTTGTCCTTTTCTCTTATGACAGCTTTATTTCTACCTAATAGTCATTTGAAACTCTTTTGTAACATTTTCCCCTCATCCCAAATGATCTCAAAGAAATATTTAGAAATTCTTAGAGTTCTTGAAACAGATTTTTTTCTCAGTTTGCTTTAATGCAAATATTAAAGTAAGATTAACTGTTTCTCTTTTGTAACTTTAAATCTTATGGAAAGTTAGCTGTTATTGTGTATTGTGTTTAGATAATAAAAGACAGCACCCTCTTATAGAGGAGCTATGTCACAATATTAGATATTAAATGTTGATATGATTCATGACTGTAAAAAAATTGATTTATTTACTATAGTAATGTGTAATCTGACTTAAATATGATTAATTAAATGCCTATCCAAATTCTCCTTTGAAAGAAATTAATTCTACTAGTAATACACCATTATTTAAATGCTATATGGATTAAATGCTATAAGAAAATGAGATTTGAATTACATGATAGTTAACAAGTTTATTAATGGCAGGTGTTTTACGTCTAATTTAACTTAGTGGTTGTATTTGAGGTAAGCTTATAGTAATAGTAGTCATCATGTAAGCGGATTTTTAAACAAAAGCTTCTTTCTTGTAGATGGATGAGAACTGGGTACTAGGTACTATGGGAGAAAAGCAGTGGTCACAATGGAGCTGGATGAGTGTCCTACTTCTGCAATTGAATGTTCTTACCTGGTTTTGTTAGAACAAAGATGATTAGAATCACTTGTTAGACAGGTGACAAGTAATAACCCTTTGAAAACTATTTCCTGGTCAGTGAAATGAATGGTGGTGGTCGTGAGAGTTTATAATGGCTGTAATGACTCTAAGGTATTGACAAATAGGAAGGCTATTTCAGTTCCACAAACATTTGTTAAGTGACTGTTGTGTCATTAATACTTGTTTGCAGAATTCATCTACATATTGGGAAGGTAAAGCTGATATGGAAACTCTTTATAGAGTTTATGGCATTTCATTCCCAGACCCTAAAATGTTGAAAGAGTGGGAGAAATTCCAAGAGGAAGCAAAAAATAGAGATCACAGAAAGATTGGCCGGGTAAGTTAAATGATCTAATGTGATGTATTGATAATGAAATGCCTTAATGAGAGCTATTCCTAAAGTATTTAGTTTTCACTTGGAATGATGTCACATTTCATATCTTCCTTACTATCAATCCTAATCACGCATCAATGTTAATAATAAAATGTGTGCTTTCTGAGAAATAGTACCATATCTGATACACACTCAAACTCTAATTTTGTTACATTTCAACTACTGATTCCTGTACAAAGGAATGTTCAGAATAGGATGCTTTCTACCATATTTCTGATCAAAAAAATTTTTTTCTCTTTGATAAGATTGTAATAACTTCAGTTTCTAAGGAATGCCAGTCTAGTGAAGCTGTGCTAATAATCCAATCTCTTATCAAAGAGAGAACTTATACAACATAAGTTGTCTCAGTGGCTGAGTAATACACCAGTGATATGTACCCTGAACTGTTTCAGCAAAGGAGATTAAAATAGGACCCCCAGATCTGCTCTTCTTTGGCACCATGAGGATTCCTGGGTGAATCCTTGGTTGTCTTAGAGCACTCTAGATAGATGGCATTAGGCTTCCATCCTGACACGCTGTTGCAGCATCTTCCTTGAGATGAAGCTCATCATATGTCCATTGAAGCCCTCATTAGACACGTAGGACAAAAAGAGGTTGAGACAAGAAATGCTGGGGGGCCTTTCCGGAACTCAAATTAACCCACTAATGGGATTAAATGTGGTTACATTTCTTAATAGTTAAATGAGCTGGAAAACAGTGGGTCTGTTCTTACCAGATCTAAGGTGGTATTACTATCGAAAGAATTGTTGGTAGACACTTAAAGTGAAAAGCAGCCTGATAGAGTGAATGGTGTGCTAGTGATGGAGACCGGAAGGTCTGGAACTAGCTGTATGGCCACGAAGAAGTCATTGAACTTCTCTGAGCCTTAGGCAACCGTCTGGAACTGAAGTTATAGATGGAATGCGTTTTGTCACAGTCAAAGATGTTCTCCCCTCATGAAGTCACGAGTCTTTGATGCATTATTCTGAAAATACTGTTTGTACTCTGAGCTGGGATACCTAAGTGGTCAGTCAAGAAACTTGACCTGTTGGATCACAAGGTGGGAGCCACATCACCTTGTGGCTCCCACAAGGTAGAAATTCCTGCTTCCTCCAGGCCAGCCCATGGCCATGACCTCCTTCTAAAGTGGCTCTGGGGCATTTAAAATAGAGAGCCATGGATTCTGAAGGATGGAAGTTGAAGAATGCTACCTTCCCTCTTTTATTGTGGTTTATAGGTGGCCACCCCATCTCCTGACCAAGGACTGCTTTGTTACCTCTTCTATCCTTTGAGTATTCATAAAGGGAACAAAAACCAATTCTGTCTCATAAAAAGGTTAGGAACCCCTATTTTGGGCAGTAGAAGAGGAGAGAAAACAGAAGGGATCTTGTCTACATTTTCTGATTGTTAAAAAACAGATGAAAAAGCAATGAATATGCTTTGAGGGAATTCAGTTGCAGCCCAAGAAGTTAATTTAGGCTTCATTCAGCTAAAATTTTGATGTGCTTCTGTGCTTAAGGAAGGTCATTAGTGTGGAGCAGGACAAAATTCTAAATATATACCAGAATTTTGCTACTTGGCTGCTCTCACCTGGACTTCACCATCGTCTCCAGAAGCTCATCTTCCTGAAAGGTCATATTAACTCTGAAACTCATACCTCCTCAGTACCTTTACATCTTCCGACTGAAGAGAATGGAAGGTACACATGAGCTCCGCAATCCTCTGTTTAAGGAAGGGCTCAGGACAGATAGATCATCATAGCCCACCTGGCTACAGGACTTCATCATACCTCAGGCCAGGTGCCTTCCACTACCACCACCTATCATCCCTCTGCTTTTTAGCTTTTGAGCCCCTCAGGGCAGATAGTATCTTTGCTTCTTTTTGTATCTCCAGCTAAGCACTGTGGTACTGTTTATTGATTGACTTATCAGATAATATGCAGGATTTAGTCAGGAAGGTCTGCATTAAGATACTGCCCCTGACCCTAGCTTTGTAACCATGCGTAAGTCTGTCTTCTCATTTGTATTTGAGATAATGATATCTTAAAAATAATAACTTATAAAATATAAATAAGATAGTTTACTTAAAATACTTTGCAAATTTTAAAGTATTACATAAACATTGATGAAGATGATGATTATATACTTTGGTCATTCTCCTTCTCTTCTCTTACCTAGGATCAGGAACTCTATTTCTTCCATGAACTCAGTCCTGGAAGTTGCTTTTTCCTGCCAAAAGGAGCCTACATCTATAATACACTTGTTGAATTCATTAGGGTAAATCATACTCTTCCATTAAGTTGTTTATTGCCAAACTGCCTTCCTGGGGCTTTTCAAATACACAGTATAAATTGACTTAATTTAAGGACTATTAGGGAAAAAAAAATAATTTTGATTTGGGGGGGAGGGGAGGTAAAATAATTTGAATGTGAATTTATTCCTACAAGCTATAGTTTTTTTTTAAGTCTTTTTCAATATTAATATGTGTTGATAACCATAATATTGAAAGATACTGCATGTGCATATACAAGTAAAGTCACTAAAATTAATGTGTGACCTAGAGACATTTGTCTGGTCTTTGTGTGTTTTGTTGGCATGCTCACTTAAGCGTATCTCAATGAGATCTTTTCTCAAAGTTCTTTTAGTTTGTTATTTACTTTGCTTAGTTTAGTTTATTTTTAAAAATGCAATGTAATTGTTTTTCTAGCCCATTATTTTTAGGATCTTGGTCCTATTTTTGAATGTTCGCTTTTTCAGAGTCTGTATAGGAAAAGGGGGTTCCAAGAGGTCGTCACCCCAAATATCTATAATAGCAAACTCTGGATGACTTCAGGACACTGGCAGCACTACAGTGAAAATATGTTCTCTTTTGAAGTTGAGAAGGAGATATTTGCTCTGAAGCCCATGAACTGCCCAGGACACTGGTATATAACTTGCTTTGAGTTTCTAGTAAAATGTTATCAAATACACTATTATTAGCTGAATTTGCTTTCTCTTTCTGGAAAGATTTTCTGTTTATGATTTTACTACATGTTCTGGGACATTTGATTAAGTGTAATGTTATGATAACGTCTTTTTCTGACTTGGTTGCAAAGATCTGGAGATAATTCATTTCTATGAGGAGGGGGTATGTGAAAACTCTCTAGATGTTAGGAAGACACTTGAGTATATATACTCTAAGTGGTATTCCTTTTTTTTTTTTTTCCTCCTCCCTCTTGTGGAGGGAGGACTGCTTGACATGGGAATGCTGAGAGCTATGGGTCCAGGAAATTCAAGTTCAGTCTTTTTCCAGGCTGTTCTTTTCTCAGTTCTACAAGCATGTATTTAGCATCTATTATGTACAAGGCATTGTGCTGAAACTAGGTATTTGAAGACAAGAATTACCTTCCAGATAGCTTCCAAAACGGGAAATTAAGTTACAAAATCAGCTAAGGGAACCTGTACTATATTTCAAAGAATCTGGTGGGGTTTGTGTCAACTCATCTTCCTCGGGTTCTTCAAGATGTTTGCAGGTCCTCCAAACTAAAGAAAGTGGTTTTCTTTTTTTTAACATTCTTTTTTAAGTTTTGAGTTCCAAATTCTTTTCCTCCCCTAGGTCCTCCTTAGCAGGCCGTATGATAAATTTTATGCATGTAACATCATGTAAAACATGCTAAAGAAATATTAAAACTCTTGGGGATAGTGGGGGGGGATCATCCCCAGTCTGGTACCACAATGGCAGGTGCTGTCTGTGGGGCTGCCAAGCCATTGAAACTTTAAAAGAAAAATTCAAGATAAAGTCTGAATGCATTTGTAATCAGTGATTCTACAGGGCTGACTTCATAGCAGCAGTCTAGATGGAGATTGGGGTGGGATCTCAGAGACCATTTGGACAGCATTCTTATTTTTTAGGTGAGGAAGCTGAGGTCTATGATAGTGACAGAAGCTTGACTTAATCTTAGTCCTCTCACTCCAGAGCCAACAGATTCTTAAGTGAACTGTCTTGTCTTTCCAGATTTCTGCAAAGAGATTACTCACTGTTGTCTTGAGCTGATGTTTCATAATGTATTCTCTGTAGTTTTATTCATAGAAGGCTCTTAAATTGCTTCATAATAATAGTCTATTTATGAATAAGCTCAATAACTCAAAGTTTGAGAGATGTTGCTTCTTCTCTGAAATAGAAAGATTTTCTTTCAGTTTTCTGTAGTAATCTGTATGTTGCACTGTAATCAGTGGTTTCTCAAAGTTGTCCTGGGGACTGCTAGAGCACCTCAAGACCCCTGGGGCGGGGGGACCATGAAGTCAAGACTGTTTTCATAATAATCCCAAGATATTTTTTTCTGATCTGGTAACTATGGATGGAAAAAATCTCAAAGAAAAGCTGTTGGGGGGGGTGAGGAGGATGTTACTCAATTTTTAGGTGTTAAAGGGGTCCTAAAACCAAAAAGTTTGAGAACCACTGTTGTAATGTAACATTTTGCCAATGTCATTGAAGTAATTGGTTGTTTGCAGATTTGATTATCAATGGATTTTAATACCTTTCCTTTATTTCTAGTCTTTTATTTGATCACCGGCCCAGATCCTGGAGGGAGTTACCCCTGCGAATAGCTGACTTTGGGGTACTTCATCGAAATGAGCTGTCAGGAGCTCTCACAGGGCTCACAAGAGTACGGCGATTCCAGCAGGATGATGCTCACATATTCTGTACCATGGAGCAGGTACTAACTCGGCCCTATGAAATCAAATTTAAAATGCCAGAACTTAAATAAAAACAAGTAATCAATACATTTTTTTACCTTTTTTTCCCTAAACAAAACAAAGATCGAAGAGGAGATAAAGAATTGTTTGGACTTCTTGAGGACTGTGTATGATGTGTTTGGATTTTCCTTTAAATTAAACCTTTCAACTCGCCCAGAAAAGTTCCTTGGAGATATTGAAGTATGGAATCAAGCTGAAAAGGTATTTTCATTTTATTGGAAAGTTATTAGGATTGCATTGAATCTGAGCAGTATTTAAGAAATCTGAGCCTTTGGTGAGGATGTCGATATTGTCATTGGTGATAATTCACATAATGCAGAGAATTAAGCTATGTTTTCTGTCTGATTAATTGATTTTTTTTTAAGAAAAGATTATTATTTTAAAATATTACTAAAATAAAATATTTACTGGGACTTGTAGTATATGAATGGATAGAAAATAGTATCTTTAGTCTGAAACTAGAATTAAGGCAATTATACACATTTCTATTTTAATCTGTTTTGTTATTTTTAGCAACTTGAGAGCAGCCTTAATGAATTTGGTGAGAAATGGGAGTTAAACCCCGGGGATGGAGCATTCTATGGACCAAAGGTTAGTACCCAACTATGTTGATGTTTGTAGATATAGGGGAGGAATAATTAATTCTCAGAAAATCTTGGGTTTCTCTGATGAAATAACATTGATGATTTTATTCAATGAAAGCTGCTTCTTTCCCCTTCCGTTCCTCATAACACAAGATTAGCAAGAGGGAGCATAATCTTCAAGTTCTTCACAACCTGGCCTCACCCTGCTTCCAGCTTCATTGGACATTACTTTCCCTCTGCCACAGTCTTGTGTTCTTAGTAACTATTTCTTTATATTCACATTTTCTCAGTTTTTGACAAATTTTTTTTTCCTTCCCCTTTTAACCATCCCAACTGGTCACATATAAACAAATAATTACCCTACGTCCTTTACATTGTGATTTAAGCCTTTTCACAGTTCATTTTCTCCTTTTTGCAACAAAATTGATTTTAGCTTATCTGAAAACTATTTGCTTTATGTACATATTTTTAGCAGTTTTAATTAAACCAAAATTCTTTTCCCTCCTCCTTTTGGGTATCAACATGTTCATCTATTAAAGAGGCAATGTCATCCACCCTTTACCAGTTGATTTGATGCATTTTTTTATGTAAAAGTAATTTTTATGACTATATTAAAGAGCAGTACCTTGCATAGTATATTTGGGGAGGGAGGATACTAATAGTTGGGATCAAGAAAAGAAATACAGCATGTAGAAGGTGGTGCTTGAGCTATGTCTTGAAGGAAGAAAAGCTTTGTATGAGGTTGAGGTGAGGAGAAAATGCCAGTGCTCAAGCATGAGGGGTGGGGGGTAGCAAAGGCGTGGACAGGGAAGATAGAGTGTCACTTGTGAGGAACGTGGGTAAGGCCAATTGGGCTACGTTAAAAGATATATCCACTGAGAATGGAAAGATAGGTTGGGGTCAGGGTGTGAAGGGTTTTGAAAACTAAACACTAAATCCAATGGTCTTTTCTCAGTCCTCTTTAGATTTTGTGACATTTGATAGTTGGCCTCACCCACTTTGCCCTCCCTTCTGATACTTGGTTCTTCTGAATCTTCTAATTCTGGCTCCTGTGTCTTCCTTTCCTGCTTCCTCTTACTTCTCTAATCCCACAAATATAAGTGTTCTAGAAATCCTGGCCTTGGAAGGCCCCCACGGCTTCAAGTATCTCTACCTGATGTTTGCTTTCAAGTCCACGTCTATAGGCCTCATCTTTTCCGTATTTGCATTTTCAACTATCTAATAAATATCTCTACCTAGCTGTTCCTCTATCTACACCTTGAATTTTAACATATCCAAAACAAACTTCTCTTTTTTCCCTCCCCAAACTTGTTCTTCATAATTCACAGTTAAGCTAATGAACGTCATTGATCTCTTACCCCAATGTTCTCATTTTACAAATGAGAAAGCAGGGCAGAGAGATTAAATGACATGCCTCTGATTTCTGTTTCTTGTACATGGCAGGCCTTTTTTTTAAATGTTCATCCAGTGACTAGTACTACTATGATCTTCTCAGTCACCTGTTCTCAAAATTTCATTCTTTCTTATTCCTCCTCCTTCTTTATGTCTCCTGTCTAAAGAGCTAACAAATCTTGTTGATTCACATTTTCCCCTATGTCCCTGTTCCCATTCTTCCATTCTGCCAGCACTCGACACTGGGTGTTTTCACAGGCTGCCCTCTACAGCTGACCTTCACGTCTCATTCCTAACTTACCTGGTTTCCTTTATGTCCAATCTTAGTGCCTTCTCTCTGAAGTCTTCTCCTGTTTGTGTGTAGTTGTTTACACAGTCTCTCCCACTTAGTCCTTGAGTTCCTAGAGAGTTGAAGCTATTGTTTGCTGTCTTTGTATCCCCACTGCTCAACACAGTACCTGGCATGTAGTAGGCACTTAATAAATGCAGGATGACTGACCATTTATTTGGTCCCTGTCCCCCACTGGGGCACCACCCTGACCAGACAGTCCTGCACATTACTCCTGGAGACTAATCTTCCCAATGCCAATCACATCCTTTTTTGGGGGGAAGGGGGGAGAGAATCTAAACTCCTTAACCTATGGTCTAGGCCAGGGGTAGGAACAGGCAAATTCAGTGCCCTTTGTATGGCTTTATCTTTCCCCATTAGTCCCACTTTCTTATGTTTTTCCTGTATCATGTAGTATACATTTAATTGTTACACAATTTTGATTAAAGAAGAGGTCAGCAACAAATTCCTTTTACCATTCTTTACTACTATAGAGATTATTTCACAGTGAATTCGATCTTTCTTAGATTGACATTGAGATTAAAGATGCTATTGGTCGATACCACCAGTGTGCAACAATTCAACTAGATTTTCAACTGCCAGTGAGATTTAATCTTACATATGTAAGGTAAGTGTACATCTGCATCATTTCCCAGGTGAGACTTTTATTAAAAAGGAATATTTAAAGGCTCTTCAAGTAAAGTGCTCCTCTGATGTTTTCTCATACCATAGAGGTACCATCTGTCTTTTGAAGGCTTTATAAATGGAAATTAATTCTGGTGGGGTCAATCAAGCTGTGAAGACTTTGAGTACAGGCCCCATTCTAGACTCTGTTGTCCTATGACTTGCCTGGTTAATAAAATTTGGATATTTACACAATTGGTTTGGCCAAGAAGTGTGACAATTTTTAGCCATAGCAACTCTAAGCAGCTGTGTGAAATCACATAAGGGTTGTGATCTGCACCAGTAGAGGGAGAACCCACATCAAGGAAATTACAGAACATTAGAATACTGAAATATATCTGAGTCGATACTTACTATACAATAAGCAAAAATATGTTGTTGTTTTTCTTTATAGTCATGATGGTGATGATAAAAAAAGGCCAGTAATTATTCATAGAGCCATTTTAGGATCTGTGGAAAGAATGATTGCTATCTTAACTGAGAACTATGGAGGCAAATGGTAAGGCAGAATCATGTTCGTTTAAAAATGTAGTGCCTGCATAAATTGTCAGACTTGGTTAATGTGTTGATTGGTTTTGCTGCACTTTTTTTTCTCCTTTTTTATTTGTTATAAGGGAGAGCCCTCTGGGGCAGGGGTGGTGAAGGGATATATTAGGAAATGGAGGTGGGACATAAAGAAAGGATAACAATAAAAATTAAGAATGTAAGCTCTCTGAGGGCAATGTTTTATTTTTGTCTTTCTGTCCCTGGCATTTGATGAATGAGGATTGCATGAAGGAAAATGGTAGTATCTGAATAGGGAGGCCAACTGGACCTGTGATTTCACTTGGTATGGGGAACTTGCTGGGGAAAAAACCACCTCTACTAATGTAGGTTGGCACCTTCTCAGTAACTTAGAGAGTTGCCTAGAGCATCCAGAGGTTACTTGACTTCCCTAGAGCCATGTGGCCAGGATGTGTTGGAGACAGGGCTTGAAACAAGGTCTGGAATATCTCTGTCTTCTATTTGTCTGTAGACTGAGAAGAGATAATAATTTTAATTGAGCTTTTTCTGATTCGTGATTTTTAAAAATATATATTTTTTAAATTTTGTTTTAGTTAAAATGTCAGTGAATGATAGTTTATTCCTAATCAGAATTTTTGAAGCTTTGCTGTCATTATGAATAGAATTCTATTCAGGTATTAATTGAGCATTGCAAAAGAAGAGCTGTGGAAAGCTCAGCAGCTTTTAAAATTCCCATTCTGTATTTCAGGGAAAAAAAATAACATTGAGAACAGATCTAAGGAGAATTTTACCATTGTTACTGATAAATAATATGCCTAACATTTTCACGTTCTCCCACAGGCCTCTTTGGCTATCTCCTCGGCAGGTAATGGTGGTGCCAGTGGGACCAACATGTGATGAATATGCCCAAAAGGTGATCCATAAAGTTTAGGAGCATAAGCTTTCCTGCTGACACTTTCCTTTGTAGGCTTTTGCACACTATTTGTAGATTTTCTCTCAGGTTGCCTATATCAAAGATAAATGTGATTCTCACAGTAATGGATATGCCTTGGCAAATTATATTCACTTTTTAACTTTAGGGAATATAATTGCTGTGTGATCAGAAGAAAGATTTATCAGCTATAGATTTTTAAAGTGGTGGTGGTGGTATTAACATATTTAAACACAGATTGCAGTGTTAAAAATCTTATTTTCCATACAGATAGAGGTCTTTGAGCCTTTTGAAAACCTAGTAGGTAAAGCATGTTTGGCTAACATCCATAGCAAGAAAAGCACTTTGCAAATTCATGTGTTAGTTTGGTTGACTGATGCTTTGTCACTTGAGGTGATTTCATCTGAAATTTTTGACTTGCGCCCTCATGAAGTGTGAGGATTTTAAAATTCATTTTAATTAGGACATAACTATTATTGGCCTGTAAAATTATACCTGTTATGAATTTGGTTGTTCAGTCTTGGGGCAGATAACTAAATTTTATCAAATATTCTTTCATTGTTGTATATAATTGTCATCTACAGGCAGGCTACAGTTTATGAATGGGTGTATAGGAATTTGGAACTTGAGCTGTATTTTCTGATAGAAACACGGTTTTGTCAGCAGTCTGTAAAAGCCAACTTAACTAATGATATGCTTGAAATCAAACCAGTATCACTTTTATGGAGCTTTGTAGTCTCCAAAGTGCCATTATGTGTTATTGATAATAAATATCTGAGCTTGGTAGGACAGTTACTTCTATCCTCATTTTACAGATGAGAATACAGAAATGCAGAGGAGGTGGTCACTTGCTCTAATGTGGCTTTTGCCTTATTAGTTTGAGAAAAGCACTGTGTAAACCTTAGTGTGGTATCTAAATGCAGATTTTTATCATCTCTACTCTTCAACAACCTGTGATTTTGGTGGTATAAATACTCCCCACACTGAGGTGGAGCTCAGATCCTCTAGAACTCAGTAAAAAGGTCTTCGTTTGTTGTTGCTTGTCTCGCACTATTTGTTCATGGATATCTAGACTCGTTTAGCTGATCTGGAGGCCATATTCCTTTCTGTTATTATTATCTTCCCTGTTGGTTGATGTGTTTGTATTTAAAGTCTTTAAGTGATCTTTCTTTCTCCTGAGGTCTTTGGCAATTTTGGCCTTTTATTATTCCTCTTACTCACTTTCTGATACCTTCCTTTTTGATTGTGTCTTCCTTGGGGGGTGGGTCTCAGAGTCATCTCAGCCTGATCCCATGCTAGGCAATTCAGATTTCACCAGCCTCACTCTCTGCCTTAAGTGATTTCTGGAGTGACAAAACTGGCCTCTGTTGGATGCTGGGCCCTTAGCTTCAGGTCAGCACCTCTGTTCTCTTACGGAGGACTGTTAAAGCACAGAACGCTCCAGTTCCAGCTGGAGCAAATTTTTGCCTTTTGGTTTCCCAAGTTGCTGTGAAGGGTGGGAGGGGTAATGACTGAGTTCTGTTGTGCAAGCTCCTGGGTTGGTTTGTGCAGCCCTGTCAGAACATTGCGTGTGGCAGGGGACAGGCTGCTGAGTGAGTGAGTGTGTCGGGGGTTCGGAGTTTGCCTTCTCAGTTGTTAGTTCATCAGGTTTTTACCTCCTTACTGTTCTTAGTGTCTTAGACCATGAAGACAACTGAACTGCTTTATCTCATGAGCATGATTTCCATTTTGAAGAAATTTAAGAGGCTATGATAATCAGAGAAAATGCCCTGCCCGATCCTCCAGCTTGTTGATCATGTGATCCACACATTTCCGGAAGCACAGCTCAGTTGGAGTTTTTCATTTCTAAATGTAGAAGACATTGTGAAATGGCTGTATTTAAAGTGCTTCCTTCAAAGTAACAGTAGTGTTTGCTTGTTGTATAGGTAGAAACATTTGTACTAGCCAAGTATGCTAATTTATTGGACAAAATCTTTTAAGAGAAACCTAGTTGATCTGTTGTTGGGAGATAAAAGTAAACTAGTGTGTGTTTGAACTTACATGTCTATGGCAAGGACATGGGGTGGCATTAAAAGAGCCTACTACAAAGAGTGTTCCAGAATGATGATTTCTGTTCTTCAACACATTATTGTTTGCAAGCTTAAAAATTTCTTTAAAATTGTATTTGAAATTCATTTCACTAAATTTACCATTGCCTATAGCAACAGCAGCTGTGTTCATTTAATGCGCATCTTGTTTTCAAAGGAAAAATTGTGTTTGTAATGAAAAGAACTGTTTATAAATATTTCTTTAAACATAGTAATTAGAATGTGTTTTCAAGTTTGTTTAAGTTACTGTCAGTAATCTCTATTTAATTAGATCACTATGTATATATGAGTATCAAGGAAATAATTGGGTTGAGAGGCAGCTTTGCCTGGTAATTTGCTGCTGGGCAAATTTTGTTAATCAATTAGATGAAGTTCCTTCACCAGGTTTAAAATAGAATCTGTTACCATCTTTTGATTGTCCATATTCAGCATTTTTGCTTTTTATAAAAAATAAGTAAACAAAACATGTTCCCATAAAGAGTCAGCTGTGAACAGTTAGTTAATGCTGACTACTTTGGTTATTGTGAATCTTCATAATGTATTCAATAGAGAAAGCAGCCCTATAGAAAGGGTTAGAGTCACTTTATAGATGCCAAATGGAACCTAGTACTAGCCTCGTTAAAATCAGTGATACCACTGGATGTGTATTCCAAAAAATTTGCGCATTGTGTCTCATAAAGATAAAGCAATCAGTTAATACAGAACTGCTTTTATTTACATAGTCTTTAGCATTGTTTTAATGCAATATTTAAGTGTCTTTCAGACTCTCTTAGGGTTATTTTCCACTTATTGAAGATTCAAGTTAAAGAGACTAATAGATTCTAAAGTCATTAATCAAAATACAGTTAGAATTAGTCTGAAAATGTATCCTGTCTTGCCTAGGTACGACAACAGTTCCATGATGCTAAATTTATGACTGACATTGATTTGGATCCAGGCTGTACATTGAACAAGAAGATCAGAAATGCACAGCTAGCACAATATAACTTCATTCTAGGTAAACATGAAAAATAATATTAAAGACTATCTGTAGTCCCTTAAAGAACTGGGTTGGGCTGAGGCTGGATAGGCTAATAGAAAGTTCTCAGTTAACATGGGACACTTCTATTAGATTGTCTGCAGTGCTTGATAGGGCAAAACTTGGTGAGCAATAGTAGTTTCAATTATACAACAAATGTTCACATTCAGAAGGTACTTTAAGATTTATAAAATGCTTTTTTCATAGTAACTAGCTAAATTAGGTAATGCATGTATTATTACCCTTTTTTATGTATGACAGAACTGTGTTACAAGGGGAAATGACTTGTCCAGGGCCCCATATTTAGTGATAGAGCCAGTAAACTGTACAGAGATTGAATGCAAGAATTCATACAGTGGTGATCTCCATTATCCTCAGTGAATCATTAAGGTATAAATTTATATAATTAGATAGTCTTTAATGTGCCTTTAAGGAAGTTATAAGACTCTGATTCTAAATATCCTTGTAGATTTGTTCTTGGTCTGGTCTAATGAAGATGCTTTGTGTCTCTTAGTTGTTGGTGAAAAAGAGAAAACCAGTGGGACCGTGAATATCCGTACAAGAGATAACAAGGTGCATGGAGAACACACAGTCTCTGAAACAATCGAGAGGTTGCAGCAGCTGAAGCAGTCTCAAAGCAAGCATGCTGAAGAAGAATTTTAACAAAGGCTTCCTCTCTTCCCTACCCCAGCACTACCCCTACACTGGTTCAGTGTAAAAAGAACAGCAGGTTTTTTGTTTTTCTAAATGACATTAAATTTGTACAGGTGTATAACCTCAGTTTTTACTGGCTGTAGAAGGAATGTCTTGGTACTACCTGCTTAGGATTTTAGATGACTTTTTAGAGTGAGCCTCCTTTAACCTCTGTTTTTGCCATTTTTAGACACTGAATAAATATACTTGAAACATTTAATAGAGCAGACAGACTGAAAACTGACTAGATTTCCTAAATATCTGATCACTGAGAATAAAATGAGAAATGTTTCAAAGTGATATGGGAAAATATAAGATGTGAAAATTTATTTTTTCCATTTAAATTCATATTTAAAAATTATGTGGGGTAAGATTAGTGGTAGAAAATTAAAGAAATAATGAAAAGAGTTTGTTATGTATCATATCAAATGCAAAGTCCTTAAACAACAACCAAAAAAATAATCAGGAAAATAGATGTATAAATGATTTCATTCAATATTAAAATGTATTGTTTCAAAATAAGTTTGTTACTGTGGTGAAACAGAGGAGCATAAAGGAATAATAAATTATCATTTTAATAAAAAACTCATTCTCAGAATTTATTAAAATTTTATAATGAACATTTAAACTTTTAAACATCCTAATCCTTAAGTCCCAGGTAGGTGCTTTAATTTGCATGTGTGTGTGCGTACACACACACATGAACAACACAAGGAGACATCGGTTTTAACCTGGTGTTTTGTTTTCAAATTACTTTTTTTTATTTTGATATTTTTTCCTAACAGTTCATTCAGTATTGCTTTAAATTTGTACCTTGAATCATATTTTAAGTGAATTAGTGTAGAATACAAAGTACCTAGTTTCGAAAGGTTTTTCAGTTTTCATACACACTGGGGTCAGGTCCTGCTTCTGATATATGCTAGCTGTATTCCTAGACCTGGACTATCAGTTTCTCTACCTACCCACTCCAGAAAAAACTCCCCAAACTCCGATGCCCATATTAAGGGAGTTTTTGTCAGAATATCTGAATTCCTACTTAGGAGTTTTTGAAAGATTCTTCAGACTTCTCCAAAGCCATAATAAAGGTCTTTTTTAAATGGAATATGTTGAAAGAATGCAAGGAATGTGAAACCCTTGCAGTCATTGAGCATCGATTATACAAAAGGCTCTCTCAATTCTAGCTGAGTTACCCTTTACAAAACAATATGAATTAAAGCAGAATACTAGCGTGTTTAAGGAATACAGAATAAAGGCATGATTCGAATAAACCTCTCACAGAGGTGGATCGACAGGAGGGAAGGAGACAGTTGCAAGTGAGAAACTAGAAAAGTAAACAATGAGCAACAGACAACGAACAGATGGGTTTGTCAGTAGTAGAGGAGTCCAGAATGAGTTAAAGGATGGAGGTACAGTGAAACCTGGGTGCTTGAATGCCTAGCTGAAGAATTTCACACAATTCGACGCAATGGGCAGTAGATTGCTAATCTCTTCCTATACATTGCTGTATTTTAATCTTTTTGCAAAATCTTTTAATCGGGGCACCTAAGTGTGCAGTGGATAGAGCAGTGGAGTCAGGAGGACCTGAGTTCAAATCTGGCCTAACTTGACACTTACTAGCTGTGCGACCCTGGGCAAGTCGCTTAACCCCAATTGCCTCACCAAAAAAATCTTTTAATCACGTCATATGCAGGAATTTTCATTGACACTATCATTCAAAGCCCTCCATAATCTGACCCCAACTTAATTTTCCCTTCTAATCACCAACTACTCTCCATAAACTATCTGCTCTAGCAAACTGCACCTATTAGTTGTGCCCAAGACAAAGCTTATGTTTTACTCGTGCATTTGTTGGGTGCCTTCTATGTCTGTTACTCCTCCCTAGGTATTTTAAACCCTGTGTCTGTTACATAGAATTGTGTAGAACCTGGAATTGGGTTATTTTAAAAACAAAAAACAAGCACAACTTGCTTGCATTGTACTTTTCTGCCTTTCCAGGCTGTTCCAAAACAAATTGTCTTGCTGTGTCCTTTGGCCATATTTTAAGTTTTGTAAATCGACTTGTACGAACGCCTAGAACTTACACCTATCAAGTCGTTGGAGGACATAAATCTGGGAAAGATTAGTAATGGAACAGATATCTGAATCAAGCTTGATAGTACCAAGTTGGAAGGGACCTCAGATGTCCTATAGTCTAGTCCTCTCCTTTTCAAGATGGGAAGACTGAGGCCCAGGATTGACCAAGGTTGTAAACATTAAGAGGCTGGGACTTGTTCCACTGTGCCCTGCTGCCTCCATTATTTCATTTGTTAAAATGAACTGCAGTCATAAGGATAAATTTTTGCAGGAGTTAATGTCAAATCCTGGAATTGGGTTATAAAAAGAAACATTGCACAATTACGGGAAGTATGAGGCCTGGCTTGAGAGCAATTCGTGTAAAATGAGACCATCACTAACCTAAAATGAGGAAAGAAACAAATCTTAAGCAACTGCTAAGTGCAAGGCACAGTGCTAAATATTGTACAAATACCTCATTTGATCTTCACAATAACCCTGGGAGGTGGGTGCTATTATTGTCCCCATTTTATAGTTGAGAAAGCTGAGACAGATGGTATAGCTGCTAAAATTGATGGTTCAGTTTTAGGCTACTGTCAAACTTTGTTGTTTAGTCACTTAGTGGTGTCTTCATGACCTCTTGGTATTTTCTTGGCAAAGATACTGCAGTGGTTTGCCATTTCCTTCTCCAGCTCATCTTATAGAAGAGGAGACTGAGGCAAACAGGGTTAAGTGACTTGCCCAGAGTCACACAGCTAGTAGTGTCTGAGGTTAGATTTGAACTCAAGAAGACTAATCTTTCTTACTCCAGGCACTTCTGAAGTCTTATTCCTTCAAGGCTCAGTTCAGGTGCCAGTCCCCAGGGCTTTATGCACACTAAGCACTCCATAAAATGTTTATTGAATTGAATTATAGAATTGGACCAGGACCAATGAGTAGGGGTCAAAAGGGAGCTGGACTTCCTCTCGTGAGGAAAAAGAGTGAAACACTTATGGATGCACTGCCAGCAAAGGTCATGGCCTTCCAAGCCCAAATTTTAAAAAATCTATCGGGTGTTATAAGAGGGGATTCATATCTGAAATGAGAGGGTGGATTAGTTTGCCTCTAAAGTTCATTTTAAGTGTGTACAATACAGTCTTCTAGTATTATCTTTTCATGTAGACATACAGTCTTCCCAAATAGACAGACTTCCAGGGTAGGGACAGTTTACTTTGAATCATCACCATCCCCCTAACTGTCACATGATAGCTTGCTTGCACAATAGATGATTGCTGTTTTGTTAGGTGGGTTTTCATCCTGAATTCTTCCACAGGAATAGAAATTACATGGGGGGAATTTGGAGAAAAGTTATTCCAATGATGTTTATATTTATTCAGATCAAGAAGCACCTAAGATAGGAAAAAAGTTCAAGAAGGCTGTTACAGTAACCAGATTTGAGGTAATAATGATAGACTTGGGAGTGGTGGAAAGAGAAAGGAAGGAGGTGAATGTGAGAGATATTGGGAAAGGGGAATTAACAGGAAAAGTATCTTAAGAAAAACTGTTCTTAATAACCAGTATCTTCTAAGGCTCCTGCTATTCATTCAATCACCAGATAGTCACTAGGTGCCAAGACAAAGGTTGTAGGAGGCATATAATGATGAATTAAATATTTGTTTCTTCCCTCCAGGTGCTAACTGGCATTTAAGTTGTTCTTACTGAGGCTACCTAAGGCAGTATAATGGGTTAGACTAAATCGACTTTGAAGTCCTTTCCAGCTCTCAATCTTTGACTCTATGAGTGTTTTGTAAACTGTAGATCTCTATATTGAAGAGGGTTATTGAGAGGTTTGTTTTTTTTTTATTTTGAGCTTGATGACAAAGTTCTTTATCTTTATTTCTTGCTGGGTCTTTAGTACAATATAGGGACAGCTAGGTGCCTCCCTGGATAAAGTGCTGGGCCTGGAGTCAGGAAAACCTGAGTTCAAATATAGTCTCAGTATCTGTGTGACCCTGAGCAAGTCACTTAACCTCTATTTGCTTCAGTTCCTCATCTGTTAAATGGGGACATGCTGGAGAAGGAAATGGTGAAACACTCTTATCTTTGCCAAAGAAGCCTCATAGACAAAGTCCATGGGGTCACGTAGCATTGGACATGACTGAACAACAAATTGGGTACATTGTAGTGACGCCTTAGTGATGTTTGTCAAATAAATAGATGATGGAATAAATGAGTAAATGAATGCATTCTACTTGACCTTATGATTGGGAACAGTCTTTCAGACTTTCAGATTCAGAAATAATATATTAGCATAATCAGACCAGCTCTGGGAAAAGTTCTTTCTAAAGTGCATTACAGATTCTAACACTGTCTCCTCATTAACACTTTTAACATAATTCTATGGGCAGAATGTAACATATGGCATTCCCCTGGTTTTAGTAGGGTTTTTTTTTTTATTTTTTAAATTCTTTTTCAGGCTTCATTTTGGCCTTAGGTATCAACATAACAATCTTACAGCACACTGAGTGATTATTATTAAACATAATAAAATTAACTTTGGTGAAGTGGAAAGAGTTCCACACCGAGAGTTTGAAGCCCTGGGTCTTAGTACCAGCTCCACCGTTAATCAGCTATGAGACTTTGACCAAATCACAGCACTCTGGGCCTCAGTCAGTCAACAAGCATATTATGAGCTTGTAATGGTCTAGGCACTGCGCTGAGACAGACCCTGCCCCCAAGGAGAATATAGCAATCCAGATTTGTGGCACCTTCCTGCATGATACCTCTTCAAATGTTTGGAGAAAGCTGTTCAATCTCCAGCCCCCGCATTTTTCTCTTTAAGCTAAATATCCTCAGGTCCCTCTATCACTGTCAATTACATGAGCCCAGAACCTTCATCCTTCTGGAAACCATAGGATCTCAACAGTATTTCAGTTTTACTTTTTAAAGGGTAAGAACCGAACATATCAAATCAGATTTGGTCTGATCAGCAGAGTCCAATGGGACTGTTACTTTCCTTTGCCATCATCAAAGGGTTCAGCAACAGGGTTCAACAACAATGGAAATAGACAGTGCCCTAAGGACCACCACCAGACCTTTCCATCTGACATTGCAGAAACGCCATCTGCACAGCCTCCCTGGTCAGAATGTGAGCTCCTTCAGGGCACTTACTGTTCTATTTTTCTATTTGTATTAGCACATTGCTTTGTACAAGATAAGCTTTTTCATTCATTCATTCTCTCACTCATTTACTCATTCTTTTCATCTTATCACGATTTCCATTAATACAGCCTGATTGCATTAAGTCTTTTCAGCTGATTAATTCGTCTTAATGGAGTCAGTTAAAAGTTCCAAGTCTTTTTCACAGGAAATACTGTCAGATCTGATCTCCCTAATCTTGTACTGTATTTCTGTAATTGTTTTTTTTAACCTAACCTAGGATTTTACACAATGTGTTTCTATTAAATCTGATCATTTTGCATTTGGACTACTTTTCTAGCCTCTTAAGGTCGTTTTGACTTTTGAACCCTTGGCCCTGTGCTGATAAATGTGACTTGGATAAAGACACAGGTGACATTCATTTCCAATTTCCTTATGACCCAAAACAGAGAGGGAGGGGTAGCAAACTGAATGACAGGATCCAAGAAGATCTTAAAAAACTAGAACTAGAAGAATGGGTCAGATTTAAGAAGATAAAATCCATCTAAACTCTTACACCTGAGTTTGAAAATTCAACTTCGTAAATAAAAGAAAATGGGGATAGGACTACAAAGGCAGTCTGGCTAAAAAAGGACTTGGTGGTTTTGGTGGGAATGGATAACTCCTATGAGGCACAGGAATACTCTACCGCATTTTTTAAAAGGCTATTATGATCTCAGGGTGCATTGAGCAAGGTATTGTGTTCTGGACTGGGCAAGCTCCAAACAGACCAAATTCTATGCTCTATATTTTAGGGAGGAGTTGGTTAGCTGGAAGACATTCAGAGGACTGACTGAAGGGACTGAGAAGACTTGGAAGGAACATGTTAGCTGTTTCCAATAATAATAACAACAATAGACATTCATAAAATGTTTTAAAGTTTCACTTGAGGTCCAACAATCTTGGTGAGAGGGGTGATACTATCCCTATTTTACAGTGGAGGAAATAGAATCTCGGAGAAGGGAAATGACTTGCCCAGGGTCATCCAATTAGCACATGTTGGAGGTGAGCTATGAATCCAGCTCTTCCCGACACCGAGTCTAACACTCATATCTATAACGCCATGATGCTTCTGAAAGTATTTGAATAACTATTCATGGAGGAAAAATTAAATTTGTTCTAGTTGGTCCCTGAGAGTAGCAGTGGGAGTTAATACACACACATGTGTGTACTATATGTGTGTATACACATATGTATATATGTCTATATACACATGCATATATGTATTTGTGTGTATATTCGTATGTATATATATGTGTGCATATTTTCCTAAGTTTGGAGACTTCAGGTCATTCAGGTTGCTGAATAATCTTCTATGCTGGCTTTGATTCCTTCTTTTTATTGCTAGTTCAAAGGTGGGAAGCAGTCCTGCCTCCATCTTCTTTTAGCTTCACATTCATCTGTTAGCACTATCATCATCATCATCACACTTCTTCATTTATAAAGCAAAGAGATCAGACTTGCTGATCTCTAAAATCCAGGTTGGCCATAAAGCTATGATTCTAAAATGATGTAAATTAGGAAAGCAAAGAAACAATTTTACCTTCAGGCAGCAGAGGGCAATCTTGTACTCTGCCTTGGATGGATTCACTAGGTAAGGTTAAATTGTATGTTACTAAAAACCAGTTAAAATAACCTTGCCGCCAGTTAGGCACACTTCAAAGCAAAGCAGTTGAACCTCTACTCTGCCTGTCTCTTTCCCTCCCCAACAGTGCCATAGAATTTTAATTTTTTTTTTTAGTGTTATTCAGATGAAACTTCCAGCTTATCCGTAATCTTCCTCAAAAAGTTGCAAGGAACGACCTTGCTTTCTGTTTCTGTCTCTCTGTCTCTGTCTCTGTCTCTCTTTGTCTCTGTCTCTGTTTCTCCCCCTCCATTCCTCTCTCTCCCCCCATCACGAAGAAAGAAAACCATGTCATTCAGTGGTCATAACCTAGGGAAAAGGGTCCAATGTTATTAGATTGTGAGCCCCTTGAGGGCAGAGACTTTCTATTGCTCTGTATCCCCAGCTAACCACACACAGTAGGCTCCTGATATATGCTTATTGACTGACTCAAAGACTGACAATATTTCTTTCTGGAAACATCGTACTTCTGTCAAAGTTACAAGCAGTTTGCAGCCCAGCAGTAATTAATTCTGCAAGGGCTGTGACAAGAGGGGTGAAGGAACACTAAGGGACACCGTGTCCTGCGTGCTGGATGGTCTCCACTCTTCAGTGCAGTATCAGGAGTATGATGGGGTGGAAGGGGAGCCTGTGTGTGGACAGTACTGGGAGGTACTCGGGATGCCGGAATAGCTGAAGAAGCCGAGGATGATGGGTTCCTGAAAGAGAAGACTGCTGGAGAACCTGATAGCTGTCCTCCAGCGTTCAAAGGACTGTCACAAGGAATGGCAATTAGACCTGTTCTGCATCACAGCTGTGGGAGAGGAGGTAAGGAAAGTGACAAGAACCTAGAAGGGACAAGAAAACATTATAGGGAGGCAGTTTTCTGACCCATTTAAATATCTCAACAAAAATTGAATTAAACAATAATTGATTTTTTTTTTCAACCAAACACAGGACTCTATTTTATTCTGCGTGTCCTAAAGAGATCCTTGGTTTGTGCGGGGTCAGAGACTCTGCTGGTCCATCAGCACCATCTCTGGGCTGCTTACGGAAACGTCATCACCGTGCCCTTCTTGCCAATTTGCCAGGGCTCCATGGGGTAGAACCGAATGTTAATTCGGTCCTGACTCAGGCTCAGTTCCTTGGTGAGGAACTCAAAGAACTTGGCGCTGTGGTCCCGGTTTTCCTCTGCTGTGCCAACCACGCCAATGGAGGAGACTATGAGCTGGGCATAGGGGTCCCCTGAACCACCCAGGATCATGGTGAGGTGTGGCCTCACAATCACATTGACTCTGTCCTGGAGCTTGCCCAGCATGGCCGCAGTCGCGGCGCACAGGCGCTGGCTCAGGCCGCTGGGCAGCCGGGCGGAGGGCAGGCTGGTGTCCAGCTCCACGTAGGGCATGGTGGCCGGACGGGCTGGGACTGCGCTGCGGGGGCTTTGAGAGCGCCCTTCCCAGGGCAGCTGGTAGAGGGCTCAGCGGACGACGGAGTGTCCGGCACAGGGGACGGGGGTGGAGCTCACTCGGCGAGGGGCCCCAGGGGCAGGACTGAGGGGGCAGCGAAAGCTAGCTCCAGGCCGGGCTAGGGAGAGCAAGGCAAGGCCGGTGAACAATAATTGATTTAAAGTTTGGAAGATTTAGAGTTTGAAAGTTCATCTAAACCAACCCCTTCATTTTACAGATGAGGAAATCGAGGTCAGAGAGGTGAAAGGAATTGCCCCTGGTCATGCAGATAGTAAATGGCAGAGGGGGGTTTCATCCTCAGATCTGCCCAAAGCATTGCTCTTTCCACTTCCTGACACTGCCTGAAAATGGGTCTGCCTGAAGTGGAGTGGGCAGCTTACTGAAACGTAATTGCTGGAAGTGTTTTAAGCAGGGCCGAGAGATAGTCAAGGGGATTCTGGGAGCTTGGGGTAGGCGGTTAGGGTATATCACCACCAAGCTCACATCTTATTACTTAGACAAAAATTCATGCACAGTAGAACTATAATTAATGCTCCCATGTAAGAAGCCGGGGGGGGGGGGGGGGGGGGGGG